ACCTCGAGGATTTATAACAAATTTAACGGTAATTAATAGTTATTCTGTTGTCGTAAAAAATCATGCTTTGGATAGTATGTGAAGAGAAATGAAAGAAAATTCTTTTTGTCTACATAAGTTATTGAGGTAAATGATTCAGTACAGGAGAAGTAAAAGATTTCTTTCCCATAAGAGAATTTTTTTATATTTAATAAAATCGAGCAAATTTCTTCAAGAACAATCTCCAGGTTAGGAAAGATATGGACAGATACATGTAAATCTAAGTGAAAGGAAGAATTCTGATATCATAGATACTCAACGCACTTTAGAAAATCTTACAGGTATTTCAGAAAAAATTAGTAGGAATTTAATGGATGATGAAACTTCTAAATTACTCAATTTGGAAAGTTTTGTGAAGAATATTCTGGAACAGAAGTTAAAAATGATTGCTAACACTGTCTATGGAAATACACGCTTTTATGAATACCGTACGCATTCTATCAGTACACAATTAAAACAAGCAACAAAACTGAACGAATAACATGTTTAGTGCTGTGTTGCGCATGGCAACACTCAAAGGTTCAGCCCTTCGTAATTTCAAATTATTATGATAACTCTGGGAGTACCTCATCTCAAGCAAGGATGTTCCCATACAGATAGCCTAAGTGACTAAAAAGTATCTCATTAGCTGTTCAGCTTCTCCCTATCCTCACAAATGGAAGAAATTCCAATTTCATTTTTTGTTACTTGTTCATAATTAAATTGAAAGTGTTCGATGCAAAAGTATTTCTTATGTTTATGCTAATGCCCACCTTTTGTAATATTGACCTAATATTTTTTAAAACGCAGCAAAAAATAAGAATAAATAGAAAAATTTATATTTGATTTCAATTTCATAGATTAAGATTATTTACCATTTTGTCATCCTTTTGTCAAAATGCACCGATGATGTGGATGCATTCATGCTTGATGCTTCTTTTTCTCTACAACTTGTTTTGTTTCATTCTTTTCGCTCTATTCAGTTTACAGGAACAAGAATTACAAAATTTCTAACTTGAATAAGAGTAGGCATAAAGATGCAAATGATCCGTCAAGAAATCTCTGTAGCTAACGCCAAGCAAAAAAAAAAAAATGCATTTCCTGTTCAATTTAAAGCGGCTTCATTCATTCGTTAATGCAGTAAAGAATGATTTAATATGATTTTGCGAAGCATCCCATTTCTTTTTAAATTATCAGCATGTTTTACTTTAACATATCGCGAATAGTTCAGAATGTTACTTACAAAATAATTAGAACTATCAGGTAGGAAAGGTGGGATAGAAATCTACAGTTGGTTTTAGCAAAGCACGAGAGGTTAGAACGTGGAATCATGGAAAGAAAATATTTTGTGAAATGAAAAAGAACTTCGTCTAATTTATCCTGCTTTTTTAAATAGGTTAACATCGTTTAAATGCATGAATTCACAAATTCTGGAAAATGCTTTTTAAAAAAATATTTTTTCTAGACCAGAATTCCTATGTTAAAAAAATTGGTGGTCAGTACTTTTGACAGTTATGGTTCGGGTACCAAAATTTTATGGGCGGCGTTTTCTGCCACATATTAAATCGGTTTTAAAAGGTTGTTTTTGGAAATCAACGAGATCTTGAATATACACGAAAATCATTTCATAATATTACGACAGCAGATATTGTATCGTTGCACAGAATAAACATACAGGAATCTTCTTCCATATTTTCAGACTGGAAATATTTGAGATGAAAAAAGCGACTCAATAGTGTGTTTCAATTTGGTCGATACGAACGGAGTGCCGCAATCTAACTCAGCTGAATATTATTAAAACTTCTTTCTTTAAAGTGCTCGAAAATTTGCAAAAAAAAGGCAAATAAAATTTTGTCAAAAGGACTGAAGAAGATGGGACGAATAGCAGGGACTTAAGAGTTTGGCTGCTTACTCGCTTTGGATGTTAAACTAGGCTTAATGGATCTAACTCATCATAATTTTTGCTGATTGCTTGATGGAGTTAGTTCATTGTAATTTTTGCTATTTAACTGTAGTGTTCCATAAGAGCGACAATCGAAATTGACTATTATCAGGGCGATATTAATAGGCAAAAACAACGTTTGAAATAGGCATCATAAAATAAAAGAATTTCAGTAACATATCATTTAACAAGAAATAAATAAATGAGATGAAGTGGACAATGAGTCACAACAAGAAACAGTGATAAAGCAATGTAAGTATCGGGAGTAAAGCTGGCTGAGATAGCTGATCCGCACCGTAATGGTCTTTTCTTTGGAGTAGTACTCTAAGGAAGGGAATTATAGTGCAGGCCACGAAAGATATGGGTTGACAAGTTTGGAAGCAAAGGCCTGTTAGGAGAGGATAATAGCCTCAGTGAAGGGAGAAGAAAGGAGAAAGATGGAAGTACAGCCAGTAGGCCATCTATGGATGAGAGGCATGAATCGCTTAGCTAGGCTTTGATGTTCAACAAATGCATATATTGAAAGAGAGGGAGCAGCATCTACACTAAATCGAGATCGATACACAATGCAATGCCTGCTGCTATCGCATTGCTCCGCTTTTAAGCCCAGCATCCACAACCAAACTTCCACACTTAATAATCCTATTCAAGTCAGTAAATGAGCCTGAAATTCTATTCATACGCAAACTTGCATGTCTTTACTATCAAATCTTTTCTTTGCCTAGATACTTCGCAGTAAAATGCAGATCGACTAGTTCTAGTCGCTTAGGATATCACAGCTGGCGAAACTTCATGTATTGTTTAACCTTAGGAATCGTTACTCGGTCTGTTGATATTATAGTGCTTAAATTGATCATCAAAACAAAATCATTTTGTTTCATTTCTTCACAGATTTTAACTATACAACCAACAGAACTGACTACGTATAATTTTTTAATTATCTAGGTTCTAGGATTTCTATGAGAAGATATAATTCTATGGTGAAGAGTGTTTCCCTCAAACTAGCGAATTTCCAAAATATTATTTACATCCTGAAATGCTTCTTCCAGTCCTCTAGAGAATAGAAATCCTTTTGGAAGCATATTAGTAAAAAGCACTTTAAAACGTAAACAATATTTGGGAGTTGCGAGCTTGATAGAAACATTTTTCAGGAGAAAATAGTAACTCTTAAGACGCTGTATAATGATTAAATATTTTTTGTCATGCATAGATAATAAATTGTCGACAAATATTTTTTGAATTTTAACTTAAATAGATTACATTTATTTATTTATTGTAACATGACAAAACGTATGATTTTTTCAAGGAATGACGAAAAAATTGATAAATTTTAGAACAGAACTTCTGACAGCATTTTCCGATTATCTAGCAAACTTAATAAATAACTAGTTGAAAGTAACAAATTGTAGCTTTCATGACCAATTAATCCCAGTGATGGCCATATAAATGACCACGATGTAAATTAGCAAAAGTTAAACATGAATTATTAATACATCAGTGGTTACTTCTCTTTTGGTGCTGCACCTGTTCGTAAGTAGCATGTCTTTGAAATTTCTTATCGCCGTAGCCTGCAAAAATTAGATCAGCCTGATGAATTTATTTAAATGATGGACGCTTGAAACGTTATACTTTAGATTTTTACCAATATTTTTAAATTTTCTACATACTTTAGAAAGTAGGCAAGATATCGCTTCCACTTCCACTTCATCATTCGGTACATAATGCTTTCTAATATGTCCCATGCCTTACTTCATACTTCGATTGCCTTTAACTTTTATTAGCAATTGTTGTAACAGGATTACTTCAAGTTTATTTCAAATGTCCCTTATCGTATTTGAGAGATTCTGTTAAGCGTATAAATCATAATCCTGATCTTAGATTTATTAAACACTTAAAATATCAAAGCAAAATCAAAGGCGTTGTTTGTTATGAAGCTTTTAAGCGGAAGTGAAAAAAATAATTTAAGCAAATTGAATGTCAAATTTGAAGTGTGAAATCCCATTTTAAATAAAGTTTAAGCTAACGATTACTGGTAGTCTAAAAAAGAGCACAGATGGTAAGAAAAGTATTATCATTAAATACTCGTTTCCTCTCTCCAAAATCATGACGCTAGATGATTTGAGGACTTGAGAAAAATTATCAAATCATTTTGCAGTAGCAAACGGAGGAGAAAAACATGAGACTAATCTGAGGCTATGAAACCAAATTTATAAGTTGTTTGATTAAGATGAATCAGCCATAAAATATGGAATTTCTTATCAATTCAATGCAACGCAGCTAAAGATTTCGGTTACAAAATTAAAAACTATATAATTCTTTTACTTTAAAAGTTTAGTTTTATTGCTGTACATACTTTTTTACATTGTGTCCATTATTTTAATGGAAGTAATTGATTTCGGAATAATGATGGGTAGAACTTAAAGAGAATTTTAAGATAATGTTCAATAATCAAGGAAATTAGTCACATAGTAAGTCCATTCTTTGTTCATTAGCAGGGCTAAGGGGGATAGTAATAAGTTAAGGGATTTGAGTAAAGTTGAAGGACAGTTTAAAATCCAGAAGGAAAGAGCAGTCCTAAATTTCTGAAACTGCGAATAAAATGATGGACCTTTTGTTATTTGTTACTGGACAAAATCAGTTTCTACAAAATCGTTAAATGGTTTCAAATCCGCCAGGTTTTGCAAGTGGCTAAAACAGGGAAAAAAAAAAAGTTGCATCACGTCGTAATCCGAATGATGCATAGTGAATTTCTGAATTTCGGGATAATGATGGGTGGATAGTTGGAATGCGTATATATGCGTTTCTATTTAGGTGTATATGTGTATATATGTATGATTTGATGCGGAAATTGTCCTTTCTTGAAATTAGGTGATGTACATTCTGATTGGATGAGAGGAAGAGAGGCGATTTGGTACTATTACTTCTGAATGAACCCTTATTTGGATGACGGGGTTTTCGGCAAGATACTCTGGAATTTCTTTAAAGAACTGTTACTGTTTTAATATGATATTAACATATATCAAACGAAGTTTTTATCACATTACGCCTTTCGCAATTTCTTGAATATTTCTTCATCACTTGGAAATTCTTTGCGGTCAAAATGAAATTCACACCGAATCGTGAACGTTATCGTGGACAAACGGCATTTCTGAAATTACTCAGTTTTTTCAGTGACTTTTCAATCGTCCTAATAATGACACATTTGTATTAATGGTAGCAAATTATCGGACTCTTTAAAGGAATGCATATTTCTGTGTTCGTTTTTCCAAATGTAGCAACTTACTTCATTTCGCCATATGTACCAATCGGTACCGCGTTTCTCATGATGATATGTTATGAATGCAAAGCATGATCGATGCGTTTGGGGTATTCGTTTAATTAGGTATGCGGTATCCGCATTTGGACACAGCAGGTTGCAGTAACTGCGTACGGTTCCATTTACTGCCTCCTTTGAAAAACATTAATTTGGTCTATTATTGGACATCATTAGATAAGGAATATGAATTCTGTTGCGAATAGGACACCTCTAATTGCTTTTTTTCATTTCAGTTCATATTGGCATATTTTACGCGTGGAATTTAAATTTATTGGGAAGATTTGATAGGAATTAATGATTATAAAAGACCTTACATCAAAGCAAACAGAGTTATTTCCTGGTACAGGTCTCCATTTATCACTTGGATCGTTATCAACGCCTGTTTCGCGCAAGGCTAAATTACAGGATGCGGGTTCACTACTGATTTTGTCTGAACCGACTCCGTTTTTTGTCATACATATTAGATCTCTCCATTCTAAATCAACTGCATGTTTGTTGGAAGACCTTGCTTTTAATCGTATTTTTCAAACAGTATTTTGAATTTTATAAAGTCATCCTCAATTTTGACGTTAAAAACTTGGTTTGGACAGCTTTACTCTTCATTTAAAGCATTGTTTTGAAATCTTATTAACATATTTGTAAGGACATTTTTTTTCACCTGTTCAGAGGAAATAGATGTTCAATTGAATGAAACGCTGATTTTAAAAAGTAGTTAACTTACGCCAGTGAACACTATTGGCAGTAGCTAGTGATAGGAATATGGCACAAAAAATATGGCGCATTTTGACTGACGGAGTACTCCTGTTCAAATTATTTTTATACTTGGATTTTGGAAAATCCTGTATCTTTTGGAACAGGTTTGAATTTCTCGTTTTTAATCCATCTTCCCTGATTTCATTTCAATCCGCAATTTATCATGGCATGTTTTCGATGGATGTGCATTATTTTCGTTAAATTGCGGCATTGTTCCTTTTCGGTTTTTACTTTCAATTTAATTTCAGTGATCATTACGATAGTACAATTGCTTTTTATGGTGCTCTTGATCTAATGTCCTTGTATATTTTGCCTTAACGTATGTTGAGCTATTGTTTTATCTTATGAAAATATGAATAATGAGACTTTTTAATCAGTTAAGTGAAACGAATGAGACTTCTTTTTAATAATGACAAATAATTTGTCATCTCTTTGCTTAAAAACTAACTTGTCCATGCGAAAACTCTCATGATGTATGATCTTTCTGGAATGCACATGTCAGTCATATCATTATCTTTTAAATTTTTAGTGAGGTAGTATTCGTTCGTGAAATGATTCGTAGTGGAAATTTTTTTGCCCTATTTAATGTCACTTGTTACAGCGCGCAATGTTATGTCTTTAAGTGATATCTTTGTTATCAGTATTGCGAATACTTCGAAGCATATTTATCACATAAGAATGTCATTCTTATTTCCATTCTCTTCCACTTGAGAAGAAAATGATTTCATCAGTAGTATGTCAGTAGTTCAAAAAATCATTTCACTTATAATGAGAGCAATTAAAATGCAGGAATGAATTAAAGGAATAATGGGACTTTATGTTGTGTTAGATAAAGTTGCAGCCTTTACGAATGAGACTTTCAACTGCAGTAATCTAGATTAATTGCTCCGAGGAGAATTTAACAGTCTAGTATAAGCACAAATGGTAATATTAATAAAATAAAATTATTTATATAAAATACGTTGATTAATTGCTATCCAAAACATATCGTAAAAAAATATATGTGTTCAATACGACTGAACTGTTATAAATCAGTTTTCATCCATCTCATACAGCTGTTTGTAAATACACATTTATAAGTTTTTGATTGGTATTCCGAATTTTTTCATTGATGTGAAGGATGTCGGTTTTAAAACACGGTTGTAATAAAGGCTCTTTATCGCACATTGTTGAAGTTTCTATCCTGAGAAATGTTCATTTAATCTGATGAGTTACCTAAAAGAGTAGCAACATTACTCTTGCGGATAATAGGTAGTTCATGTCTTTTCAAGTCATCGCTTTTGTCAGACGCCTTCAATTTATTGAAAATCTATGGTAATTCTTCAATATTATTCTGTTTAAGTCTTATGCTTCTCGACTCCTAATGCTTTTACTGATGTTTCGCAAAGCTGCGTAGAGTTTCCATGCTATATGAAGCATTGTTACAAATTCAGATTCTAAAAGTACGTTTTTGACTGAAAAAAATAGAACAGTCTCCTATGTTGTCGGTAGTACGCTTGACATTTTTTCGTTGCAAATTATAAAATTCTCCCCACTCAAGGACATTTACACGTGTAATTGTTTTACCTACTATGTATATTTGTCACTACATGCAGTTGTCGGTAAATTCCTCCCATTTATATATTTTTCTTTGTTAGCTTATCATTTGTTTTCGTTAACACCTTTTATTTTAATAACTTTTTTTGCATGTATATATATATATATATATATATATATATATATATATATATATATATAACAGCTTTTATTTGCAGAAAGATGCTTATCATTTCTCCTACCTTTGGAAGGGCTTCATGTTTTATAAGGACATTTTGATAATTTACCATTATTTTTACATTAAAAATGATAACTTTTGATAATTTGATAACTTTTTCTGCATACTATATATATATAATTACTTTTGGTGATCTTTTATTTTATGCATATTTCAAGGATATCCCGTACTCCCATAAAATTATTTTTGATTTTTAGCGTCGCCCTTGATAATATTTTCTATCTACAAAATCGTATGTTCTGTTTTGCTTTGAAAGTATCTCCAAACCAACTTTATGTTTTACCAACCAAAATTTTTTTATCAACATATCGTCTATTTGCTAAGAAATGCTTCATTGTATTTTTTAGTGAAAATACTGTTCTGAAAGTGCGTATGAATTTCAGTACTTCTTTGCAGGTAAATTTTCCCAATAAGATACACTAAAAAGGAGTTTGTATAGATTTAACTATAAGATTAATTTTAATTCTTTGTTTTCCGAGTCTTCTCTTTGATATGAAATTTTTTAAAGGAGTTTTTAAAACGACCGCCATTATTAAAAACATTTGAACTTGTTTTTTTTTGCTGTCTTTTCGTACTGTTTATTGCAACAGTCACATTACATGCACGAGTTTCCAAGTTTGAAAATACATACTGATGAGGCGAAAAAAGTTTACCTTATCAAATTCAGCAGATATGATAAAGCTGTGATAAACAATGTGATTTACAACAAACTTCAATTATTTAAAAAGGCTGAACTTCGAATTAATTCATGCTGTAGCCCTGTCTCTCTTTGTATCTTTAACAGGAAAATTGAGAGGAAGAACTTATTATGTTTATGATGTGTGGTAAAGAGATTTAATTTGTCTTTTTTTTTGTCTAATTTGTCTATTCCATATCCTAATGGCATGCAGCTTTTTGTTTGTTTTTCAGCGTAATGTGGTGTTTTCTAAGCTGATTTGTTAATATTTTCGAATCATTTTTTATATCGAGGTTTACATTCACAGGAAATATTTGCGGAATTGTGTAACTGAATCATACTGTATTTGTTCTTAATGTTTTTTTATCTTTAAACAAATAAAGAATGTTAAACGCATTGGTACCTACAGTTTCTGCAAAATTAACAATTATAAAAATTATGACAAAAGCAAATAAGAAAAAGTGTTCTGTTACTGAGTCTGTTGTAACTCATACTTGTTCCTAAAAATGCGATTTACATACAGTATTTGTTAGCGTTATTGTTTTCACTGAAAGAAGTCGATATGCAGAACTTGCTCATGATTAATCAGGTATTCATGGCTATTTGGTCTCGAAGCAGTTTTAAAATTATTTCTGAAGTGTCGTTTACGTACCACATTACATGCACGAGTTTCCAAGGTTTTTCAGTTATTCTAATTAAAAAAAATACGGAAATGGAGCTGGTCAGACAAACGCTAATAGTAATGTTTTCGAGCGCGAAGAAGGCAATAAAAAAAAAAATGTAAAATTCACAAAAAGTGTAAATCTCTCAATGTTGACTTTTTTATTCCATTATTACTCTGCTCCAGTTGTATACCATTTTGAGGGAAAATGTAATCAATACTTTTGTATTTTAAAGATTATTACTTTAAAATTCAAGGATATATGCCGGATTAATATTTTTGCCAAAGCATGTTGTGATTTTATCAAAGACAACCAGGTTGGATTATGAGAGACAAAAGTACCTACAGCTGAATTGCACTCAGTTTTGTGCACCGGTTTGACATTTTATCACTTTCATTATTTCTGCACAAAATAAAGAAATTTTACGAATAAGCTCTACGAAACTCGTGTAATTATTTTAGAGGAATTCTTTTATTTTTACTTTTTTTATTCCAGCAGTTTTGTTATATTTTGTATGCTAGTTTATTGCTCATATGTCTATAGCTATTGTCCGTTATATTTTCCCAGTTAAAAAGAAGTGCCAGCTGGAATTATAAAGGAATGAAAAAGAAACACATCTAACAGCAGAATTATGTTCGTACTGCATGCCAATATCTTAAGTTATTGTTTCGTTTAATATTCGCAATTAGTCTAGTTTGTAAGTTGGTTTCTAGTTAGAAGTAAGGAAACATTTAACAAAAAACATTGAGAAGTAGATGAAGAGGAATTAAATTATAATGTTAACAAAATAAAAATTGGTATCCACTGCTCTCCTTTTGTTCATAGAACTATTTACTTGATAGTACATGTTTAAATAATTTTATTTTCATGATTAAATATTTTTAGCCATTTTTCAACTCATGAGGTCCAGATTTGTATTGATATCTCTCAAGTCTGTCATTATCTAGGCTGAGAATGGTTTGTTTCTGATAAATATACCTATTGTTTAGATGACAGTGACTTTGTCGTATTAAAATGATATTCTTGAAATTAAACTAAGTGGTTTGCAGAATGAATTCATCTCTATCCTGGCAATATTCTAAACTTTTAGAAATTGAGGAATTGAGGTAGAACTCGAAGCGAATATACAATGGAGTAGTGTGGCCTATGCAGATGCTGTGTTTTCAGCTGGAGGTGATGTATTTTTTTGGTAGCTACTAAAAAAACGCGTGACAGATGTCGTTGGCTTCAGTACGGATCCAGTTGGGAATTTTAATGATTTCCTTTACTAAACTTTTTATATAGATGAATGGTACAACTACGATAGACTTTAACTCACCTAATAACATCCAACATGCAATAAAAGTTGAAGTGGCACGTTATTACAGTTCAGCTGACGGGTAACACGTAATAGCTGACTGCCACAGTTGAAGAAGATTCCCTGTATTCTTCACATTTAGTGATTTGTGTTCAATGCAGTTTGATTCTAGATAAGAAGCAAATCTAGAATCAAATCTTCCAAGAACTCAAGTTCATTAGAGAAAATGTTTCGAAGTTTTAAATGTTTAAAATATTAGAAATGTATAAGTCGGAAGGTTGTTATGTTTGCTTGTTTATTCAGGTTTATTCTGGGGCAGCAAAGTTCTGAGGCTTTGTTGTTTGTCCTATTATATAGCGGTGTTAACGAATTTTTAGTCTACATTCTCCCAAATTTTGAATGTCATATTAACTTTAATCGACATGAGTTTTTACTTTTTTAGTGGTGGTAAACTGATCTATTTAATTTTGTTCGAGCATGCAACATAATGTACTGAAATATTAAGTGTGATTTATCATCCCAAACAACAGGAATTTAAGCTTACATCAATGACTTAAATTAATTTGGGAAACGTCAATGAAATTGACACTAAAAGTAAAATTAAATTAAACAAAAAATTGCAATTATAGATTATCATGTAGAGATAGCTTTTCTGCAATTATGAGGTATTTCTTTTTATAATCTATGATTTTTCAAAATGTGTTTTTTAGTGAACTGTGAATTTAGTTAGCTATGTGGAAATGTTAATCATTACGACCAGCGAATAACCCAATCGCCTAGTTATCAAGGAATCCAAATTCCAATAACCAGAAGCAATTTTTGGTATAAAATTGAAAATATTAGAATATATTTCAAATAGTAGATTTACTCAGACATAAATCTCCTTTCCCAGTAGTAGTGTTAATTTCAGCAAAACATTATTTCTAATAGATTATTTCTAATATTCAAAAAACTGTAAAAATTTGGCAAGTGATGAATCAAACATAATGCTGAAGGACTTTTCGGAATTTTAGAACCTAGTGTTCGGGTTCGTTTATTTCAGAAAATCGTTTTGAAAATTTAGTCACACTTATTCAATTTTATTCAACCTTTTCGTTAACATCACCATATTTCAGCAGCAAATTTGGTTCCTTCATTAATCTTTGTCAGATATTTGAATCAATAGTCTTTGTTTTCTAGAAAGCATAATAATCTTAATTTAATTAGCTTTTGTTGAACGTTGATGGATGAATAGAGAATAAAAACGTTTTCAACTTCTCATAAAAAATAAAAATTTACGAATTAGTGATTAAAAATGGGACAAATGAATTACAACAATATGAGTAAAAATAATTTAGTTGTATAGACATTTTGTCTCATTAAGTGAAACGAGTTCAAACTAGAAAGTAATTGAATCAGCAAAGTGCAGATGCGAGGAAAGGACTTCAAAATACTTGCTGGAGTGAAAATTACAAAGTTACTTTGTATCAAATAAGATAAAATAAATGATCAAATAAACAAAATCGACTGGCCTTGCAATTGAATCTGTTTAAAAAGTGCTTGTAAACATCATGCATAAAATTAGACGTTTATAAAGGGTATGCAGATGCAGCATATGCTTGCTTGTATCTATTATAACTCTATTCGTCTTTCATAGTAGTGTTTATCCGTTTGCTTTGCATCAGAGAGAAGCAACAAAAACTTCTAAGTGAAGAAGAAAATATTCGTAACATGTATTAATTAACTCTAAGATGATTAAAGGAAGTGGATGAATGCTTCTTGTAAATATATTCCCCATTCTGCTTCCATTTCTTCATGCACTTTTCTCACCATTATGATATATTTTAATCTCTTATCAAGCTCAGACTAGATTAAAATATTATGGACACTCGAATCTTCGGCTCTTTTATTTTTTATCTTCCAAAAACCAACATTTGTCAAATACCTTTTGGAAGCCAAAATACTTATTAATATTTTTCTTTCAGTCCATGCTAAATTTTGTCCTATCTATGTGATTATGCATAATGGAAAGATGAAATTTACAATTAATTAACTGACAAGAAATCGTTTTTTGCTTTTAGGTTTCTTAATTTGCTTGAATCAAATATAATTTTATGCCAGATATGAACAGAATGATGGTTTTGTTCCAGCAGGAATTACAAAGTCTGAAAACTTATAGGTCTCAAATTTTCAAAAAATTCGAATTTGTTGTTACTTCTCGTGAGCCCACTGTTGTTTTCTCTACAGTGGATCATAATTAAAATGGCATGAATTTTTACACTTATTTATTTTCTGGTTAAGGGACATCCAAATAGATACAAGCCATAAAATGAAACAATAAAGTACCGGATTTATTCCAAATGATTTTTAAGAAGGGCTGGATTAAAACAGATAATTAAGCAATTAATGTTGTCGAAGAGTGACGCTTAGCTATTATCGGTGCGTAGTTATAGAACTGTCGAAATGTGTCTCATCATAGATCAAAGTTCGGTTTGAAAAGTTTTGAATCTCATCTAACAAGTAGTTCACCACTCCTTATTCAGTTTATTGACACATCTGAAGAGAAGTGTCATAGTTCAGAGCGTTACGAATTTTAAAGCTTCGAAGAGATTTTACTTTGCACTCTATTCATACTGTTATTTAAAGATAAACTAAAGCTGTGCAGTTTCAAAACCATTCATTTTCAGCAGTGAGGCATGTGCATATCGATTCTTCATCCTCCGATATTACTCCTAGAAGTGAAGCTGCGCTTTAGCCACTGTTTCTACTCCGCCTCTTGCCTCTCATGGTCACCATAGCTGTGTAACGTAAGGTCAATAGATTGTGCGGTGCTATCATTCAATAAACGTATACCTCATCTATTCTACTCTCTCTGCAATTCATTTTCCACTTTCTATACTTAAGCGTAATTACTTAATTATTCTTGTACCTAATTCATAAAATGTTGAATCTATGATATTTTAGAATACATGATACTCATTGTAGATATTAACATCACTGAATGCTCCAAAGGTGAAGTGCTTGTGCTGTTTTCCTAAGTCTCTATTTAATAGTACTTTCTAGTCTTTCCGACAGTCAGTGTTAGCCTATACAACTATATTTCAGTCCTTTGCTTCAATCAAATTCTTCATTTTCACGATAATAAAAATCCGAGATTACTAATTAATTTTATGAAACTTTCGTCATTTCGTTAAATTCGGAAAAATTGGGCTGTCTGTTACCAGCTTAAGAATTTTTTTAAATAATAATATACTGAATAGATATCATTAAAATGGAAGTGATCATTCACTAAGAATATGTTCTTGTTCGCTCTTACCTGCTGGACCGAACGATATATATTTGGTCGCTATTATTTCCCCTTTTTATTTCGCTTTTATTTTTCCTACGCTGTCTTTTAGTGTATCATTTAAGTACTGATTTCAAAAATTCTGTTTTCTTTTTTCCTTATATTAATATATTATATCATTTAGAAAAGTTTCTTTAATTCCTAAAAACATGGGTTTGAAGATTTCAAACACTTACTCTGATTCATAGACTGAATTGGCAGTCCATTGAAATATACAATGTAAATAAATGTGTCGGATAATCCAAATGAAGTTTTGTCTTCTGGACCATTTATCCCTTGCATAAGCGAATGCCAGTTCGATATGTTCATTACAAATCGCCCATATATATGTTATTTCCACCTAGATTTTAGTAAAAAATCAGAATATGAGGATCGACCTTTACCACAATTAATTTTACTTGCTTTCTAAGGTACTTGTTTACTTCATAGTGTAAAAGCGCACTTAGTATTATAATATTAAAATATGCAAAGTAGTAGGAATTACGAAATGAAACAATTAAATATTTCTTATGAAACAATTCAATATCGAGAATATAATAGATATAATTAAATACCGAGAGAATGCACGAATATAATAAATCACTAGCACCACGTACTTCGGAGCAGGAAAGATTTTTTTTTTATTAACTCACTGATTCAATTGAATATGAAATATGAGGTGATCATGGTTTGTAACAATGCATATAAAGCAAGTCAAAAATTTCTGGTACATTTATTAGAAATATCAGCATATAACCAAACACATCAAACACATTATATTTATATCTGTTTTAAGCCTTTGGCCTCATTTTCAACTCTCGCTTTCATCATGCATAGATGTCATTTTTTTTGGTATTTTTCTTGTATTTATTACTTATTGAAATGTTAAGTACAACGGCATTGATGGGATGGAAGTTCTTTCTACTCCTTCTGAAATAATTATAATGTGTATAATGACTGATGACAATTGCAGATGCATCGATAGGATGCTCTCGTCCATAGCGGTAGCCTGACTGAATTGGCTTTATTTTGAAGTCTGTTTTGGAACATTCGAAATGTTTGAAAAACTCGAAATTTTGAACCTATCGATAGGTTTATTAATATAGTATTGATGGGGTTATTGGTAGACATTTGTTCGCGCTATGGAATTTTGAAAAAAAGGTTAAAAAAGCATTGAAGCAAATAGAATTTTCTATTGATTTCGTTGAAATGAGTTAAAGTGGGGAGGGAGCTTATATAAAGCTAAATTTTATCTGGATATAATGAGCAATAGTAGAAGAAGCTTTTAAAGTAAAAGAAATATCTATAGTAATATATTCTCATAAACTTAAAAATATCTTTAAAGTTTAATATTTTCCTCAAAAAGAGATCCTAAAAAAAGGTTTTGTGAAAAATCGAATTTTGTTTTAGAGTTTGCAGCTGATTTGGTCGAGAATTCATTTTCATGTTGTGGTGTTATATAAAGGCAATAAAGATAATATAACGTTAGTTGGCTTTGAAGTTAACTGGAGGAGGAAGGTATCAAACTTGATAGGAAGCTATGTACTGAAAAGTTTCCATGGCAATAGTGGCCTAACCGGCACAACAAAGGAATTTTACTTTTCCCTGTCTCCGTTGAAGGAGCGGGAACTAATTTAAGTAGTTCATCTTCTTTAAAAAAGCATTTTTTTTTCGTGATCTATATTTGAATGTAAATAAAGTTAGATATGCTCTGCTTTTCGCATAGCCTTGTTTCTTACGTTGCATAAAAATCGCTAATTCACCTTTTTGGTGCTGAAACGTCAGCGTATCTTAAAGTGGACTTATCATTCATATTGCAAGTCGTTATCACTGTATTAATTTATTCTAGCCAAATCCAAAGTTTAGCGATTTTTAGGCGGTTATGGTGTCCGCACCATCCAGGCCACGTCCCGCAACTGAAAAATCAGAAGCAGTCAAGGTGATCATCCGTTGTCGTCCGTTATCGGCTTCTGAAATATCTGATGGTTACCAAAAGTAAATACTTATTACTTTGAAATACAAACTAATTTACTGTTATCTTCTATATCCTTGACGAATAGTTGAAATACATTCATGCTTATTTTTGTTTTTAAACATCTCTCCCACATCAGTTCTTCCTGCTTCTGATGCTTATCTGTTTTCACTAGCTGTTTACTTTTGCTTTTAGTATTTCATCTCTTTTAATTTTAGTATTGTTGATATTCAAACAAATCGTGGTGTAATTGAATTATACAATCCAAAAGAACCAAATGAACCTTCGAAAATATTCACATTTGATTCAGTTTATGATCCACAGTAAGCACTTATGAAAATTTCATAATACAAGTCCTTGAAATGGATGCAAATCGTCTCATAAATTTGTGAACGAGGAATATTAAGATCGAAAATGAAAATATGGATTTGTACTTTCCAAGTCACAGAAATTGCACGTAATGAGATATTACTTTTTTATATTTTTAAGATCTAAACAGCTCGATCTTTACGATGAAACATTTCGCCATCTTGTCGATTCTGTGCTTGAAGGATTCAATGGAACGATTTTTGCATATGGTCAGACAGGAACAGGGAAAACATTCACAATGGAAGGTTGGACTTTTTTTTATTGGACATTTCTTTATTGCTACGTAACTATTATTAATTGAAACGGACTTCTGGAATATTCTGGTAACATGTCAAGTCACCTTGAAGAGTGGTGAATTAAGAAAGGGATACTAATTCGATATTCTATGGAAGTTTTTTCTTATCAAAATATTAAATTGCTTAGTCAGTATCCTACGTCCAAACAAAGTATGCGTAATTACTGCATAATATAAATAAAAGAACAACTTAGTCTCACAACAATGTGATAAATAAATAAATATTTATTTATCCCAGTTTGGATGTAATCTGATACATATCTTGTCTAGGTGTTCATGAGGATCCTGAATTGCGTGGTGTCATACCGAATGCATATCACCATATTTTCCAACATATTGCACAATCGCGGAATCAACAGTACCTCGTGAGAGCAAGCTATTTAGAAATTTATCAGGTTTCTTGGACTTTTTTCTTTATTTTTTTCCAAGATTTCTAAGGCTGAAGTTGTTAAGGACTTGTAAGGATATGTTAGGGTGGTTTGGGTGGTTTTGCTGGTTATTTGCTAATAATTACGTTACACGAAGTATTTATCTATATTGGCAATATATTGATAATTTATAAAAAGCTGACCAAGACAAATGGTTTAAAGGCATTGCCTCACAACGAACGCATGATTACATTGAGTAAAGAGCTGTCAGATGACCTTTATTCTTATATGGCAAGAATTGGGTCTTAACACTATGTCAGTTGCTCATAAGAACGATTAGAAAACCTTTACGATATTTCGATATTGCAAGTAGATTTGGTTTAGAACAAAAGAGCAACATATTAAGTAATGCATATACTCTTTGTTAACAGCTGTAACATTTCATGAGTAACCCACCTACAGTTGGATAATGAATGATTGCTTATATCACATACATTTTTGAAACAGTTTTATATTTGCCTAAGGAATATTTGATTAAAACAATCTTTAGTCCCTCAGATTTAACACAGTTTTATTCCAACATATTATTCGGTTTTTCTGACAGAAACATTTTAACAAATAAATTGGCATGTCGATTCCAGAAGCATGCCGGTTACAGCATGATCTGCCTGACACAATTTCGTTTATTTAAAAAGTGATACCTGCCAGCAATTTTAATATACATGTGCTTGTTTAGTAAATTATGTTAAAAAAGTTGTATGAATTGGAGTCAAAAATGTGTTGAATAGGAAATACTTAATCATTCATTTTCTTTCTTTTTAATTTCAGGAAGAAATTCGCGATTTGTTGAGTGTAGATCCGAAAATACGTTTAGAATTAAGGGAGCGTCCAGATGTTGGCGTTTATGTGAACGGTCTTTCATCATTCGTAGCAAAATCTGTGGAAGAAATTGAGCACGTTATGTTAGTCGGTCATTCAAATCGTACAGTCGGGTTCGTATTAACCTTTTTTTTTTTTTCTAGAAGAAAGTGAAATACATGTTTTCATTAGTATGTCAGCATATCATTTCAAAAGTGGATGTTTTTTTAGTGTTATTTCCCAAAAAATGAGGAAGGAAGTGTTCAACTATTTGCATCACTTCACACTTCAGTAACTGAAGTGTTCAATTTTCAGGAGAACAAACATGAACGAACATAGTAGTCGTTCACATGCAATTTTCATGGTGACAGTCGAGTGCAGCGAACCCGGTTTGGATGGTCAGAATCACATAAGGTAACCAAATCAGGTTCGCATCCTGAATGGAACAATGGACAGCGTTATGCAGCTTGTATATATAACAAATCTTTTTCTAGAGTCGGACGATTAAATCTGATAGATTTGGCAGGCAGTGAGCGTCAGTCAAAAACGGGATCACATGGTGAACGGTTGAAAGAAGCAACAAAAATCAACCTGTCTCTTTCTGCTCTTGGCAATGTTATATCAGCATTGGTTAGTGGAAAGAGTACTCATGTACCGTACAGAGATTCGAAACTAACACGGTTATTACAAGGTATACAGCTGTTTTAATATATTGAAGTAGTTTTAACGTGACAAAAATCGTCAAAGTCGTTAGTGACAGTGAATGCAGTTGTTTGGGACCTCCTAGTTATTTGTATAACCATGTGAGTAGCCTTATCCCGTCACATCTTTAGATTCCTGATTATATTAATAATAGTCGCTTGAGTCACTTCCTTTGTTATGGATAAAGTTTGCATATAATTATATGCAAAGCCTTCAGATTCACTAGGCGGTAATTCGCGAACCGTAATGGTCGCTAATATTGGACCTGCGTCGTATAATTATGAAGAAACACTGTCTACGTTAAGATATGCAAATCGCGCAAAAAAAATCAATAATCAACCAAGGATCAACGAGGATCCCAAAGATGCGCTTCTTCGCGAATTTCAAGTTCTCTTAGTATCAGATTGCGTGTTTATATATTAATGCGAACTAGCTCTTCAAGAAAACGTCATATTGCAGAGCTACAGTCTCTTATCTATTTTTGGTCTTGTTTTATTTCAAAATTTGATTTACTTCATTTGATTCTTATTATAGCGACATATTTTATTAAGGATGAGATTACAAGGCTTCGAGAAATTTTGGAACAACGAGCCGTTAAAAAAAAAAAGAAGGTGTGTGTTGGCGGAAAGAGCGAAAGTGATGATGAAGGTTGGCAAGAAAATAAAAATCTCCTTTATTGTATTTAATGATGAGTTACGCTCAACGAAATGGTTTTACAGCTATTCCAAGTGAAGAATATCTTAATGAACAGCAGAGGCGTTTGGAAGATGAAAGACAAACCATCATCTCTAATTCAAACATTATTGCAGAGGTAGGATATTTTACTTGCATCTTGAATGTAAGCAACCGCTCAATATGACCTTGCTGCATTTTTTTATTCGAAATTAAAGATATTTTTGAAGGAAAAGAGAAAAATACTTGCCGATCTGGAAGAAAGGGTTGAGCAGCTAGAAAGGGAACGCGAAGCACAAACTGCTGTAGCTGCTAAGATTCGAGCAATGCAAAGTAAACTTCTTTCTGGTGATAACAGTTTGTTGGATAAGACTCGCGAACAGCAAAAATTGCTAGAGCAGCGAAGAAGACAACTAGCTGAACAAAAGGTTTCAAATTTTCATTCAAAGATAACTTTGTGAAGGGCTGATAAATAATTTTGATTATTTCATTTATATGATTTATATGATTGTTTCTGGATTTTTCTCCTTAACACTTGTAATGAATTATAAAAGTACATTTAAGAACAAAGAACGCGAAATTTTGCAACAGTTGGAAGCACAAGAAGATAATACAGCAGAAATACATGAAACATTTAGTAATTTGAGACAAGAAGTTGAAATAAAAACAAGGAAACTAAAAAAATTATATTCCAAGCTCCAACAGGCATGTTTTTTCTCTTCAAACATGGAAGTTTGTTTAAGTTTTAAAGTGAAAATTGGAAATTTAATGAAATTAGGTCATAATAATACATAATACAAAACTGAAAAATGAAATTATTCAGGTTCGTTCGGAAATCAGTGACGCCTCTGCAAGTCATTCACAGGAGAGGCAAGATTTGGAAAATTCAGTAACCGAAATTAATAAAGAGTTAAAACTGAAGTAAGTTTTTTAGCTATGATGTGAGCAGTCTCAGTGAATCGTTCTGTATATTATGAAATAATGTTCTTTAATCATGCTTTATTGTTTATTGGATCGTTTCACTTAAAATATTTGTGATTTCAACAGCATTATCTTACATAGATTGCTGATTGTGGAGAATTTCGTGCCACAAGATGTTCGTGATCGCTTACGTGAAAGAGCATGTTGGGATGAGGATGTAGGTACTTGGAAACTTTTAAAAATCGGACAAAGTCGGTCCAGAAGCACTACATTCGAAGAATTATGTCGTTCAGGTGGCGGCGATTCTGGATTAGGCGTCAGTGATACTTCGACTAATATTGATTATTCTATTGTCCAAGATCTTATTAGCAACCGACCGGTAAGAAACACCCGTATGTGTTCTGTAGGGATATTTCGTAAGTGTGTTTTAATGAAGATGTTTATTTTTAGAGAAATTAAAAAGCGAATACAAATTGAGATAAAAATGAATTGTGTACATTAGTTAGTATGTTTTTTTTTTTCTTTTTTTTTTTCGGTTTATACTGAATAAATGATGGCAAGCAATTAACATTACAGGTGTCAGTACCTGGCATGAGGCGACCAATATGTGATTACGAGCGAATGTGTTTGACAAGATTGCGACAACAGTTGAGCACGCAGTTAAAATGTGAACAGATAAGATCTACCAATTATGCAAACGAAGCTGGTACCATGATCTTAGAAGGGGTGACTTTGTTTGATATTTTAGTTTTTCAAAAATTGCTAGTGTTCACTTTATAAGCAAGTTATAAACTTGGAAGTAATCTTTATTTTTGTGATCATTTAATGGTTGTTTAATAGATTCTGCGATTTTGTGGTGAAAATGTATTGACATTCACTTCGTTGGAAAATTTAGAAAGGCGAACAAAGTTGTATGAAACTTTCGAAGTCGAAGCTGGTTTACAGGTATATTATTTTTAAAACATATTATTTCGTGCGAAAAATATGAATATTTCCTTCGATTTTGCAGAAATTTCAGGCTACCGCTAATTTCGTACGGTATAACGAAGAACAGGAACAGAATTTTATTGTTGATATTTCAAGAATTCCAGTGCTGCGAAATTCAAATCAAACCGGCCGGTTTCCTGTTTCAGGTCGGTCGATGCCGAGAAATTCTTCATTTTTCAAGTCAGTACTCCTTTTATAATTGCTTTTACATCTGATATTGGCAGTGACTTGAGGTAGATTATCGCGTTTCAAAGGACAATGAAACGTAACCGAGGCACGCTGTAAGTAACAGGATATACGGGCAATTATTCAACAAATCGCTTCAAAAAGAATGTTTTTCAAAACAAACATCAGTAGTAAGTCTAATCAAATAAGTTTTTCACTTTTTTCAGACTATCATTAACACATTCAAAAAATGTACGAGCCCGCAGCGCACTTGGAAGAGTGGTAACAACTTCGAACAGCTGCACACCGAAAACTGGAGGTTTGGTAAAAGGGAAAGACAACCAACTGTAGATTCGGGAACGTTATTCAAACAAGTGTTGCAGCAAAACCATCTCGCACTTAATTTATTTGCTTCAAATTTTTTACGTCAGCAATATTCACATATTGATTTATGCCATTCGTCATTATCAACTCCTAATAGTTCATTTGTTCAGAAAGATTCTTATGCTGCAAGCTGTACTGTTGTCCCAGAAACTTCTATTATTATCGCGAATACAGTTGCTAAACGTTCTATCCATTATTCATCTTTGCCAAATGTCCCTAGGAGTATACCGTATCAACACGACAAATTGTCAATAGTAGTTGGAATCAGTCAGGGTACTGACTACTTGAGTAGAAAAACTAGGACTGGTTTTGAGGAAGCATCATTGTTCGCGGATATTATCGTTACTGATAGCAACTCACTACATCAGAATTTGACCGAGAGTGTAACAGGAAGTTCCAGAAATAATCGACTGAATTTTAACAAAAATGATAGCGTTGTGCAGTCAAAGTTTAAAAATCAAATATGGAATTCATGTTATCAGCAGATTTATGGCGACGTCAAGAAATGGATGATAATGGACCAAACAGACACGTTATATGTAACGCCTTTCTCGTACGAGGGAGGAACTGTTCGTGGAAAAAGGCATAACAGCAGAATTCCAATATTGAATACGAGGTTTATGCCCGTGCTTCTTATTTGTTTTATTAGTTATTATTGCTTTACTTGCTGAGGTTTTATGTTCACGATTTTCTTTCCATAAATGCCTTCATTATAAAACAATTAGAAGTTATGACCTTTATAATCTATAGAGATGCTTACATATCGTTTGATTGTAATTTTACGAGTTCTCATTATCGCAGATCGGAAACTATAGCAGCTCAGTGTTCACAATCCTCTGAAAACTGCAGTTTGTTCATTCAGTCTTTTTCGACATTTACAAGGCGAGGTATGCCTTTTAAAAGCAAAATACCACTTTTGTTTAAAATTGTAAGGATTTGAAACGTAGATATTCTATCTGCAATACTTGAAATTTTCTTCGATTTATCCACCATTTAACAATGAGAAAATATAAAACTGAGTTAGGTTCCATGTTAGATTATAAAACAATAACTAAATAATTAAGATTAGGTTTTCTAATTTTAGTCAATAATTCACTAGCAATGGAAGGGTCGTGTGAGAAATTAGCAAATGGTCTGAAAGAAACTCCCTTCAACATTTCAAGGCAGTTATTGGAGCGATGTGCTTTTTGTAGACAACAAAGCATCTCATCATACACTTCCAGGTAAGTTATCGATTGTTCTGTTTCCTATCTGTTGTATCATCATGAACATAAGTGGTGAATGAAAAGTCAAAAGCTGAATATATAATAGATGCAAAAATATTATGTTGTTACTTGAGATTGGAAAATTACAACCTTATGACAAGAGTTTGTCACAAAAACGAGATGTCACAAAAATTTTCTCCCAGTAGCATTGTAAAATCTCACAAAAAGTGCCAAAATTACCATAATCAGACGTTTAGAAGATTTAAAATGCTAGTCTTACAAAGGATCGTCTCCATCACCTTGATATAAATGATATGATGGATGAGATGAATATTTGTTTCTGTGGTTATGGTTTTTTCATGTTAACTTATTTATCTGTTCTACACGGTTATCTATATCTCACATCCTTTCATCACAATTTTGCAGTTTTTTTTTTTTCTTGCAGTTGCCATGAAGACATTGTAAAGTTAGCAACATATTCCGAGTCAGCAAAACCATGGGAAGTGCATACTCACAGTTAGTTTTCTTTTTCTGAATTTCATTTTGTTTGCAGTATAGAACATTTGATAGAAACAAAATATGACAACAATTAATTTGGACGGTTATTTTCCTTTAGTTTTAACTCTTTTAATGGGTAATCTCCATATCTTTGTGAACATCAGAAACTTACAGGTTTCAAATGTATTGACTGCCAGATATTTTATTTTGCCTCAAACTTGGGTAATTAAACCAACAAATCAACATTATAACAAAGCGTAACGAATAGATAAAAGATAATTATAAAACACTAAAATAATATCAAAAACCACCCCAAAACGTAGAATGAACAACCGTAATGGATGGTTGGTTAATTTATATACAGAACTGAACTGACAACCGGATATCCGGCAGAGAACATTTGACTGATATGAAACAAAAATTGCTAATAAGGGGTTTTTTATTGTGTGAGAAAAAGGAAGTAATTAGCATAATGGCTTAAATGATCTAGACATAGATTAATCACAAATGCGGAATTATTTGGTGATTGACTTGTCAGACATCTGGCAAAAGGTATTAGAATTTGAATGTAATTTAAATGTGTCGTTTTTTACGACACTTTGGATGATTCATCATCGTATCATTCATAATATGAAGTGAGACCTTTACTACTGCCAGTAATATCATTCACTATAGGATGATATTTCTGGCAGATGCACCTAACTGTATTATAAATATTAACTCATTATTATAATGTTCATAAATAATCACTTTAGATATCTTTTGTAATGATAATTTAATATCAGTACATAATGTGTATAGTTATGACAGATCTGTAAATTGACTGTTATGATGACTTCTACTCCAGGAAAAGAGTGGCTGTTAAACATGGAACCTAGAAAGGCAAAAAAAATAATGAAACTCCGATTCTGCACATCTTCAAGCTATTCATTATGTCGTGGTCGAGGAAATCTGCAGTCAATCAGATTTCCGAAACGGTTTGTTGCGATTTAAACTATAAATTTTGATTAATCATTGTTCTCATTTTTTTTTTTTTTTTTTTTTTTTTGTTAAAATAAAGGTATGAATATTGAGAAATTGTCAAGATACATTTGTAGGTTGATATTATCAGTCAAGAAGAAGAAGATATGTTGTACAAATCGATGCATTTATGCTTCGGCTGCTAGTAGTTGTTCATTATCCGAGCAAATCAGAAAATGCTATGAAAAATCACTGCACCTGAAGTCACTGTACAACATTATATCTACTTTCGCTGTTATGGCTCTTCTGCTTGCTTTTATAATACGTGCTCTGGAGGTATTTCTTTGCAAAGTATAAAGACCGATTTCAATCAATTGAGTTACATAAACGACAATAACTGTTAAATGCAGATTAACCATTACATTCATTTTTTTTGTGATTACAATCAGTAAAATCAGAGTCACTGTTTTGGCTTGTTCCTTTCCCACTATTTTTCACACATATGCTTTCTTTTACAGTAGGTAACATGAAATTGAATTTTAATTGTGATAACATATACAAGACTTACTTAGCAGGATTGTTTAACGTGTGAAAATGTGTATATAATGCTGTAATGATTTATGCTCAAAGACCCAAATTAAAGGATGTGACTGATTTTTAATTCCTCCTATCAGGCTTAGATAAGGCAACTTAATTGAAACTTAGTCCAAAATAACACAGGTAGAATTTAACAGATAGATTTCATTACAGCGCACCGTATCAAAATGGAAAATCATGTGTTAATGAGATGAATGCTGTTAATAATGTTATTTACTCTTATATCCCAAAAAGTATGTAGTGTGTAAGTGTGTTGCGGGCTTATCCGATATCAAAAACAATATTGGTAAATGGGTGTTAATCGCACCATTCGCATATGTTTATGTGTAGAAACTTCAGCATTTCCTGTAGAATGTAATCTCGTTGCTGCTTGTTTCAAAACTAGAGAAGGGTTTTACGAACGGCTTCGATGTTGCGAAATTTTTACGACGAATTACCTCATATATTTCTATTATGATTTCTTTAAATCTAGCACTTTTGTCTTTTAGCTTTTGTATATATATATATATATGGCAGTGATTTGTCCCAGTGATGCTCGTTTCTTATTCTTATGCTAGTTAAACTGATAATGATTGTAACTTGTGGTCTTAAATTAAGAGCTTCTATTCATTATAGGAAATATGAAATGCAGTATTTGCGGCATTCTTTCCCATATTGCTATGGGGCGCTTACTACCACTAAATACTAAGGTAAGATAATCTGGGTGGCAGAGTTATAATTTCAGAAGATCTTTCATTAGAAGTATTTTTAATGAAATGTTCTATTTAACAACGTATGCACTTGTTTGGAAATTATTCGGGGAACACGTTGCAAATTTTTCATAAACTACCGCGGATTGGATTTCGCTATCTTCATAATATCTCTTCATAATTTTGATTATGGTATCATGATACTTTTTTTTTTATGGAACTTAGTTATAGATAAATGAGTTCCAGCTTTGATACTTCCACTATTTTACCCTCCCTCCTATCCAAAAAAAAGTTGAAAAACATGGAAATCAATTAAATTCTTGAAAGCACTGGAACACAAAACCTACTGAATTTATTTCCAAAACTTAATTTAAAACTCCATTCTACAGTAACCTGTTTCCCAGGCTACGGGCCTTTTCATATTTAGGTGTTGGAACGATTACCATGACTAGAATGCACATTTTTTAAGCATTGATGGTGTCTCATTACTGAACGCTGTGGGAAGCTCCATATTTTCTTTTTCCTCACCACCTTTTGAGTATTTTTCCTTCAATAAACTTTCTAAGGAAGTGAAAAATCCTTCCCAATTGCCTTCCGCTCAAAACTATATATCCTTTGATCTACAAAAATTCATTTGAGAATACTTGTTACTACCTTCAGCTTCCTGTGGGCGGGGAATGGAACTTGTAACAAGGAAAATCCCCACCTAAAAGGTTCAGTTTTTAAGCTTTGTCTCTTTATAAAAACTGCCCTTGAAATTCTTGTCCACCTTCTCTCCCAAATAATTTCAAGATTACCTGATGTTATATAAGATCATTTTATTTCTTTCAATATATATATATATATATATATATATATATGAAGGAATAAGTCCAATGCTACGTGAATCATGATCAGGAAATCATTGGCAAGTCTTATAAGATTAACTGGCAAATTTCGGCACACTCATGTTAGTGAGCAGTCAAGTAATAAATTGCTCGTTACGACTAATCCTAGTTATTGTGACAAGCTATGACAACTAACAGTCGCTTATTTCAGTGATTTTAAAATTAACTGAAGAAAGTGAATACGCTACATATTTTCGTGCTTGTAAAAAAATTATCGACTGTGTTTCTTAATGGTAAATAGTACTGACATAAACAAATAAAGAAATGGAACGTGGAGAGAGAAAGAGAAGAATGAGGAAAAGTCAACGAAAAAGTATGGAGCATTTCTATACAACGAGTAAGTCATACTACGACTTCCAGAAACCGTTAATGTTTTTATGAAAAAGCAATATTTGTGAAATACTATGCGTCAAAACACAACAACTTTCTATCCATTTTTCTTGATGTAATTTCTATTTCAATCTACTTTTTTAAAACTTCTTATCCTGCTGATGTAATGCTGATAGCCCCAGTTACTTCCCTCAAATGACAGTCATATTCATGTATTTGAATGCAGGCTGAAATCCATCAGTGTGTTATTTTTCTTTGTTAAGAGTTTGTAAAGCAGAAAGATAGTGAAATCTCGTGTCAAAGTGGAATTGTAATGATCAAGGTATTTCAAACACTGCTAAAGAATCATAAATGCACTAAATGTGCAGCTTTTCATCGAATATGTGGAAATTCTGACTGTGAAAGAGTGGATTTCGATTCGACAGTTGTTAAGTTTGTTCTAAGCAATAGGAAAAAAAAGCAGTAGAAAAAAAAAATTCAAATCAAAGGTCGAATTTTAATACTGAATGAAATAAATAAGAACAGTCCATCAGTGAATTAGTAGCAAACAATATTATGTGCAGTGCGACGCAACAAGCAATAAAACAATCCTTCTCACCAATCAGTTTGAGAAAATTTGAACGGACGCTGTTTCATGGATACCATCCTAATCAATTGATAAGTGACTAACAATAAAAATAGGTAAACTAAAACTATCAAATTACCACCGAAACTCTTTTTCACTATCGATAACGACAAAAACCATGCTTGGATTTATTTCCACATAAATTTTTTTAAGGCAGCTGTCAACGTGCATGATTTTATCATTCTACCACGCATACGTATATGTAAAGCCGAAAGCGTTACACATGCAGGATGAGTTACCGTATTGAAGCACATAAATTTTTTTTCTACTTAATTTTGTGAGAAACACTGACATAGAAATATATATTTTGCTTCTAAGGAATTATATTTTTTTGATATTTATAAGAGATCCTTCCTATTTTTAGAAAAAACAATTTTACAACAGTGCGGGAATTGCAGTGAAAACCAAAAAGGCCAACTTTCTCAACAAGCTAAAATATATGCTTTACAAACAAGCATCATTCAACCTTTAAGAAAAACAAAAACTGTTCCTATGTTTTCTGCACTTTGCCCAATCACTTGCAAGTTATCATGAGGCAAAAAAAAAAAAAAAAAAGTGGAATGCTGCTAACTAGAGAAACCTATTAAGGACAATTCGCGACAAGATTTCTTAGATTTTGAAGTAATTCTTAAAATGAGCTCTCAGCTGACCATCTAATGAGTTCGTTTTCACTATTTGTGTTAGATGTGGTAGAGTTTTAATTCTGACTTCAGAAACTGGTTGGAACAGCAAAAAGTGACAGGTTCAGTAAAGCAGTTTTACAAATGAAATTTTGGGATTTGGGGAATAGTACCGTAATTTGCAAAATGATGAATCAAATGAGCTAGGTGCGAAACAAATGATCTCGACTATTGGTGAAATCATAGTTTTGGAAGTTTTTGTACCAAATATTCTAACGCTGTTATGCATGATAATGTTGATAGCCATGAATTTTCAAGTAATTACGGTTTGGAAGGACAAAGGTATTATTGTCTTCCCGCCTTTTAGCTACTCTTCTTATACTAATTTTGAAAAGTAACTTCCGCCATGATCATCTATTATAATTCTATAAAAAAAGTGCTTTCTAACATTCTTTTTGTATTATAAGTAAATTAAATAAAATTTAAAAACTGAATAAAATAGAATTTTTAGGAAATTTAAAAAAGTAAAGCAAATAAAAATAAAAACAAAAAACTAAATAAAATTTTTGTTCACTTTAAAAATGTCAGAAACCATCCAGCTTTAATTTCTTCACTTACATTCACTTATTATAATTCTTAGAAATTTTTGCAGTGCATGTTTTTTTTGTTCTTATTTCAGCTTTCAAATTATAACTTCTGTTTTATATATATGAATAAGGGGGACAGATATAAATGACACGGAACAACTAATTTAGAGAGCTGAAGATGCTTCAAATAACAACTGTATTGACAAATATTTTGTATTTATAGTGACGTAATTGAGTTTCCTCATAAGAAGCTCACACTCATCTGTTAATAACTCATAAAAATTCCTGCTGAAGTTGGAAATGAGACAGTTCCAGTGTAAGAATTGCCTAAGTGTTCGCTGTCCACTTGTCGTTGTTGTGAATCACGTAAAAGAAGAGGATTGGAGAGACTAAAGCAGGGAAATAGGAAATGTAACGGAAGAGGAGAACGAAAGACAAATCCGTTTCATGTAGTGATAACGGGAATAGGAATTATAACAGTACTAACTAGGAAAATGTAAATCGGTGGAATGGTGAACAGCTCCCTTATCTCAAATTAAGTTATAGTGAGGTAGACCGTTATGTAGGATGGAAATATATATAACCTTATATGAAAACAATCACTGTTACGAATGAGAATTTGCATTTCTTTACAGGCAATTGTGCCAGCAATATTCACGAAATTGCATTTCTGAACATCTTCCTTCAGTTCTATGTTAGTTTAATATAATCAGAGGCTTGTCTCCTTCTAGACTTAACTGTACTTATTTAATTTTAATAAATAGGTTTAAACTGAAAGCCTTATTCAATAGTATCCAACAACTGAATACTTCCTTTTTCCAAGATTATGCCAAAGAGTTATGAAGATATCAAGAAGTTGATTATACTGGCTGGCGTATTTTTCACTTTTGCTGTTTTATTCATTTTTATGAAAGTGGGGTTAGTTCCAGAATTTCACTACTTTCCAGTTCTCAACATAGCTGCATTGTTGCCTTAATTTTAAAATATTTTTTACCACAAACAATCGAAAGTGTGAAGTTATCTCTACCTGTCTGAAACGTTTAAATTTCCCAAGACTTTACATTTTGTACAAATGAAACTGCAGAAATCTCAATCACTTTATGTGACCTATACTAGAAAAAGATTTTATAGGTAACAGCTGATGAAATTTTCAAGTGGTCGCCAGTTGTGTGGCTCGTTGGGGTATTGTTGTGTTGCTTATTTATGAATTTTCTATATATTATTTTGAATGCATGAAGATCGAAATTTTTTTTTATTTGCAAATCTTTCAATTATGTATTTTGTTCGATGATTGTTGAAAATAATGATGTAAATTTAGCAATTTGAATATTCTTGAATAACAATTTGGACGCAATTGTTGCTTGAAGTAAAAGTTTTAATCGTCCTCGAAATGTATGCTACAACCAATCGGTTGAATGTGATGTATGCTTGAACATATTTGTAATGATGGTCTACAACCATACCATGTTGAAATGTCGTCCGATCTGTGAAGTTAAGCAACGTTGGGCCTGGTTAATACTTGGATCGGAGACGGTCTGGGAATCCCAGGTGTTGTAGACATGTTTCCGATATTTGATGGAATAACTGCAGTGGATGCAATAATACAGTGATCAAAAATCGACCATAGCGCTTTATGTTTGATCCGTTTGCTGAAGGAATTTGGGTGTTTCGGCTATTGTGGCTTGAAAATTTTGGGACGTCCTGCATGTTTATAGGGCAATAAATGCGTTAGCAAGAATGAGTTAGTGTCATCCTTACCCGTCTATAAAAGACGGCAACTTACAAGGATTAAGAGAGAGGTGCTGAATCATTACCCTGGATTCGTCCGGAAATTTCGTACATATATTAAGTATTTTACAAATTAACAATTGATTAAATTTATAAAAAAAAATTAACGATCAACTAAATTTCTATTCAGCGTCAATTTTCCAGGAAGAATCGCTGCTATGGTTAAATTTGGTTATGTCACTTCTGTGTCTAACTATAGTGCACTACGATCTCGAGTGCTACGGTAGAAATGGGTCATCATGGCCTCCAATGTACTGTAATAGTGTCGTGTCATTGCTGTCCTATAATGAAGTTGTTGCCCATCCGCATTGCAGGATTAGATGCTTTTTTATTCCACTTAGAAGTAAAAATCAAGCTTCTTTCACAATCCATCATTCACGCATAACATTTATTAGAAATACTGCAGCTGGTTTAATAGATACCATATGGCAGAATTTATTCCTTTACACTCAAAGGGCCAAAATTCTTTAACTGCATTTCAGATTTTGTAGCAGTCGTGAAAAAGACAAGGAATTCCATTCATGCACAGATTTCTTCTGAAATGTGTTTCCCAATTGCATTCCGAGCTCCATAATCAGGAAATTTTCAGTTATTTCATTTACGAAAAAAGCTTCCTTGTATAGCAATCATCAACTATTTCTTGCTGCAACAAAAGGTTTTAAAAATAGAATTATTACCTTCTTCCAGGTCCCCAAGATATTTTTTAAATTAATTACCATGGATTTTATATTACAGAACGTCCGCAAAAATATATAACAACTGCAACCCAAAGTTACTTACTAACTGTGCCATGCAGACATGGCCGAATCTGTCCATCAGTACCAAAACAAGGAAAGGATATATCGACAATAGTATTTCATTATCCAAATTCACCTTATTAATGCTATCGGCTCACTTTGCTTCACGACATCCTCTCTCTATATCAATAATTTTAAACCCCTTAACAATGTGTCTTCTCATACGTTGAAGAACCTCGAAAAAGTCAGTAAATTTCTATATTTCTGAACGTACAAACACATACTACGTGATTTGCGGACAAAGCTCCAAATAATGTGATGGACTTTCTACCTTGAAAAGTTTTCATCCTTTATGCTAGTGATTACAATTCTTATTTTACTGCTGAAATTCTTCAACTACTTACAGACAAATGATATGAAAACGAAACAGCGAGTAATTTGTACTACAACAGCAACCATAAGCAGAAACACGGACATAGCGCCACCAAATTACAATGAAGCCATAAAAATGTCCAGTCACTAACCTACTAATTATATATCACTGATTATATCAAACGACTTCAGGATTTCCGCTCTCCATACATATCGCCACACTGTAATCCCGTTTTAACAATAAATAAATTGAAATTCGTGAACTTCGAAGTAGCCTGTCAAATTCTAGCAAACTTGATTGTACCGCATAACACGTAAATGATTTATTACCAATAACAGCACTGCATAACTACCACTTAAGAAAATGATGTTCCAATATTCAAAATCAAAAAGCTTTTAATGCTATGGAGAGGTATATGGTCCTAATATCGATCATGATAACACACTGGCCGTCTTTCCCAAGACTGACTACAGGCCACATCGAATCTCAAAAAGAATATACTAGAAAATGATTACAAAGAAGTAATCTTCGAAGCCAGTTTATGACTATGTTCCAGACGACCTTTGGTTATATTATTTCAAAACAATAAAGAAAAGAATAAAAGTATATCATATACCCTGTCTTTGTATCATAACCTGTAGGATGCAGAAGTACAATATGAACGAAGGAAGAGAAATTAACAAACAATCACAAAAAACAATCATAAAGCAATATTACAATACACCAGCAATATACGCACAATCAATATTTAATATAATGGGAATAGTTTTCCTAATAACTTACTAACTGTATATTTAAAGTGTTGAGAAAAATGTTTGGGTTTGCAATTGCAAAGTGAAAAAAAAAAAACGTTAACTGTTTTTTTATTAAAGAATTTATTAGTAATTCAGTTGCAAGCAACACTAAAAAAACCATTTACTGTTTCTTTTTGTCAATTTTGTATTTCGATTTACCACCGCCGAATACATAAGCTTTGCAGAAAAAATTGACGAAAAGAATCAAATAAGTAATATCCATGAAGAGTGCTAACTTGAAAATGCTGTCATCGAAATCACAGTCCACCTAAAAAACTCTTACTTTAAATTTGGAAAAGTGTACAACAAACAAGTGATATAAACTTGCATCAAAAAGATGATTTCAATTTGAAAATTACAATGAACCAAAAGTAACAAACCTTCCTGACATAAATTAGTATTCCAAGGTGTGCAAGTATCAAAACACTGAGCACAAATTGAAGGATTTGAAGCGATGTTATAAACATTGCGACACGGCGTGGAATCCGCATTTTCATGGAACACAGGAAATAATAACTAGAAATAGGGGAAAATAAATCAGCTACATAGAATGCATAAAAATAAAGATCGTTAACTACAAGAATACAACATACCTGTACATAAACGCATGTACGAAGAAATTCATGAAAATGCCCCAACGGTTAAATCCAGGAGTATGTGGATACGAGTAGAAAGCATAAATAAGTGTAAGAATGTGGTGGTACCAGTGAAGAAACATGAGTGGTTTTTTTCGCAAAACCAGAAATACGGTATCAGCCAATTCGAACAGCTTTGATACAATGAACAGCCAACCCCAGAAACCGTTCGATCCCTTGGTGAAACCGTAAACTTTACAGTACGAAGCTGCAATATTGGAAAAAAAAATCACATTATAGCAGTTTATATCAAATCACATGCACTGGATAACTTCACTTCTCTGCAGTTTCGCAAAACTACGTTGTAATTTATATTAGAAACATTTAAAAGCTGAACTTCCAACCATGTCTGAAGTCATAAAAATGATAAAAAAACCTTGGAAGCCATTATTTTGAATAGTACCAATAAATTCTGGAAAAAGCATAACAGTCCCCATAATGCTGAACAGTGCAAGAAGTGCATTCCAAATATTCAGCGGTAATGTCAAATTAAACGGTGCCCGATTTCGCATAACAACATATTTTATTCCAAAGATAACAAGAAAGTATGCAAAGCACGCCTAAAACATACCTTATTTTAACGAAATATGATAAAATGTTGTCACCATCAATAAAATCCCTGACTAGCTGTTTATTATATGAATTGTAAAGATAAATACTAACAAACTCATTCGGAAAGCCCCAGTAACGGAATGCATAGATAGTAACTTCAAAAATGTTCTTTCCATGACAGAAAACTGGAAATTACTTGAATGGCGAAATTCTGATGTTGAAGAACCCATTCCTTAGATTCCTGCTCCGGAAATACGGGTGAAGTGATAATTTCAACAAAACGTCGCACATTTATCTTTGGTGCAGCAAGAACCTGCTCCTGTGTTACCATCTGAGACACTAGCAAGAGCCTGAAACCACCACGTGGAAAGCCAAACAGTAAAATATTCCTCAAAGGAATGAAAACGCAAACCTTTCCCAACAACCATCCAATCACAACAAACCAGCCGACCACTCCGAGCTGAAATATTTTCGGATTTTGGATGGGTGCCAAGATTTACCGCTTCAATACATTTTGTAAGAGGTGAGGATTGCGCAATCTGTGCAATAGGGATGCATGCGGTACTGCTTCGGGAGGGAGGGTTCTTAGTGTCTGGTTGGTGCAGAATGTAGACTCAGCAATGAAAGTAATGGTGTGACATCTGTCTGCAACTGTTTGTAACTAATGGGGTGAGGAAGGGTGAAGGGAACCGTCATTCTGCTTCTACGGTTCGTTAAAGAGTATAACAAAGCAAGGATGTAATCGAGGTGCAATACTACGCAGCAGAGAAGAGCAATGGGAATAATGATAAATTTTGAAGACTGAAATACTACCACTATTTGTTATCAGTCAGGTTAGTACAGGGGGCGGATCAATAACGCAATCATGATCGTTGAGCTATTGGCGAAAGCAGCAACTGATGATGAACTGTGACAGGAAATTTGTGAAGGCTAAAGGTTAGCCATAATTCAGCACCTTATCTGACTCGTCTTGCTCAAATTATTTTCACACTGACTTGCAATTTATTTGTAAATGAAGATGAATCCATCTTTTTTTCTTTTTTTTTTTTTGTCAGTATTTCGAAATTAGAAGTAAAATTCAGGACATATTAAAAACTGATATCACCTGTTGTCATTTTACTGTATTTTTGTCATCGCTTTGATGTATATTCTTTCAAATTAAAGTAAAATTGAAGAATAGATACTAAACTAAATTAGAAATAATATAAACTAGAAAATGAGGTAAAATAAATCACTACAAACACTGAATTGAAGCAATCGAAATGAGGAAGTGGGCAGGGTTCAATTATTTTTCCCAAAAGCGCATATCTATATTCGATTTATTTACGTGGCATCTATATACCTACACTATGTATTTTTATTTATCTTTATAAAAAGTCAACTTAAATGATCTAATTTCGTCACTGAATTTCTGAATGCTTTCTTATTAGTTTATTACAAATATCGTCAGCAGGGGTCATTCGCGGATTGAACCAGTTTTAAGCTTCTATAGTTTCAAGAATACAAAATATTTTAGTTTCACTGTTGTGTCAAAAACCGTCACTATCACGGAAACTTCACGGAAATTTCCTTTACAAAAGAAAGGAAAAACTACACATAATGCATGAATGGTGGAAAAAAGTGATTTGAAGTTATCTTCTTCAAATCACTTTTTTTGTCAATTCATATTACCTTCATCTTATAAACAACGGAACTATGGTTAGTTTCTTATCCTGCTTTTTAAATTTCTAAATTGAAGTTACGAATAGTCAGGAAAGATTGCCAGTCAGAGTAATGAAACACAAAGGCACGGTTATTCATTTGACATCGCTAGCAAAAAACCTTTCGTGGTTCTCATCGACCTTGATAAACGCAACATATACTGCGCAGCGATAAATGTACATACGCGTGAGACTTGCATGCAGTGTGTATGCATATATATAGTCGACATAAGCTCGTCGTAAAATGTGCAGGGCGGTGCAGTTAAATTTTTATAGTGGTTGTTCGCTATTAGTGTAATTAACTGCTGATATTTGGACACGTTATCACAGGAAATGTTGCAGGCATGTGAGACTACTGGTGATGGCGGTTTGTCAACTTTTCAAATCCAGGTAAATTTGTTGTTCGAAAGTCCTCCCCTTCTCTTGTTCTTCAATCTATCTATCCCTCCTTCCTCACTGTTATATAGACTTTCTCATCTACGAGAAAGTCACATTTCTATATCATGGCCGCTCTATAGCATCAAACAGATGGATAAAATAACTGAGGGCCGCTTAAATACCTGAAGAACGAACGCCTTTGTTGAGCAGAGGTCGTGGCGGATCGATTTACACGTTCAATCAACAAGCTTCCAAAAATGTTTAGTATAGATGTGTGTTATTATGGCTAGGTTTACTAACAAAAGTCAGACTGTACAGCAGATGCTTTGAGTTTTCAAGTGTGAATAACTTGTGAAGTAGCACAGAGCAGCATCCGACTACGGGACGGATATAACGCAGCTTGGAAATAGCTGTCACGAAGGTTATTATTAACCAGGCATGTAAAAGCAGTCAAGTATTTTGCATTTTGAAAAAAAAAGTTTTGAGTCCTATTCCTAACTTAACTAGTACATCATCCAACAAAACTTAATTTCCGATGTTTGTTTGTAGGGTGCATCAATCAATTAACTCTGCATTCTATAATCTCGTTCTCCTTTATTTTCCTGTTTCGTATTCGTCTTACACCACTTGCTTGTTCTCATTCATTATTCTCAAACTATAATGTACTGGTTCCAAACATGAAAATGTCGGATTTTTTGAATTTTTTGTTGTAAAGATGCCACTGTCGAGTTCGTTGATTCGTGATTCGGGAACTCATAAGTTCATGGGAAAGAAGTGGCAGAAGAAGGGAGAGTGAGTGGAGATATTCATTATGAACTTCGTGTTACACTAACATTTCTTTGAGTAAAGTTACCTGGAACAGCTCATCAGCCTGCAGCTATTCTTTGCCTTTGAATTTTGGTGTCTAAACTGGATCATAATTAGAAAATACAAAACTTCTTTCAGGTATGATAATTATTGAACAGGCTGCTTTAGAGACGCAATCTTTTGTTAAGTTTGTTTGGTTGAAAAATTATTAACATTCCATAGATTCCATAAACTGCAACTGCAAAAATTCTTGTAAAAAATAAGTCAGATGTATTTCACTGTTAAAAATTTTTTCCGAAATAGTTGTTGCTTAGTTTTAGTGATAAATTAAGACATTGTTGTATTGGCATTAATAGCGATTATGATTTCATAACAGAAAAGTGAAGGAAATAGATGAATAGCTTGCTTTAGATCTGAATTATCAATCTCCCAGTTCTCATTTAATCGCAGTCAACAGCTGTATAAAAAAAAGAAAAAAAAAATGACTAATATCTTATATGCAGTGCATTCTGATGCGGATCAATCTGAATTTTCTGTTCTTTGACGTTGCTTTACTTTTTAGCCTATGAACTATAATTAAAAGTAAAACAAAAGTGAGACCACCTTATTTCCTGGTCAGTATTGCAGATAAAATAGTCTCCCTATCAGTTATTGGTAGAATTATTAGAGCTCGACATTTGAAATTCTCTAGGAAACTTCGTACTCTGACAGTTTCACTTTTCAAGCATCTCAAGGTATTTAAAGGAAATTTCTCTTTTAAATGCTTTTACTTTCCTCAATGTAAAGTTATTGAAACGGAAAAATGAAAATACTCTTGCGGCAAAGTCCTGATATTTTGTTCTTTGATAGCAGAAATTAATTGGAAACTTGACCTCTTCTGGATTTCTGTACTTTTCATAGTCATAAAACCTATCACCATCCCTCTATTGTGAAAAAAATGGGTCTGAAATTTTTTGCTGAAATTATACTTAACTAAACTGAAATTCATGTTTTATACCAAATAAAGCAAATTCCTCCCATTAGTGATGAATATAAAAATAAGTTACTGAATAATGAAATCATGACTGAATTTTACGAAGCAAAATAATGACTAATCTGGCACACGTCCTTAAATAGCTAATGGTGTTCCTAAAATAACTAGGAAGTAATTCATAAAATCTGCAAACTAACAGGACCCTTCATACGATTACTCTCACAACGAGCTGTGTGAAGTATATCGCATCTACTTGATATAAATAATCTATTATTTTGCGGATGGTTTACCATAAATTTTAAACGTGTTTTAATAGATCATAACAATGAAATTCTTATTTGAGCTCTTGATTAATGAGATTTGTGAAAATTCACACATTTTCATTTATTTCTAAGATGACTATGTTAAAATTCTTAATTTTCTCCACATAAATGAAAGATGTTCCAGATGAAAAAACCAAAGATATTTTCTGCAATAGCAATCCCAAACACATGTCTTTAATGCGACTTCTTAGATCATTCTTTATTTAACAGTGTTTGTTATTTGAAAACACATCTACTTGCTTCCCATTTTGTATTGTTTATATATATATTTAAGTTTTACATTATTTTCCAAACTTTTTACTTCTCGTTCTTTCTGTAATATGAACAAGCGGTTCAACAGAATGTGAAAATTGCAAAATGCTTACATTCTGCTTCTAATCTTCGTCAAAGCACGAAAAAATATATACAAATAAACTTTTCATTTTCAGCCGGTAGAACGATTTTACTCCATTTCATTTCTCCAGAACCTAAGAACCTCATCTGATTGATTTTTATCAGTTTAATTGAGGAATATTTTTCTCATCACTAAACTTGAATGACTAGAATATAAACTTTTAAATTTTTCGGAAAAGATTAACGACAAACCAAGACTACTAAGAGTTGTACTTTTACTCTCAAGCATTATATCTACTTCACTTCCTTTTTTAGGAAATCCCACCAGTAATTTTATCCGTGTAATACAAATTCCTGCAAAATCTTCCTTATGATATTTACTTCTATCAAAGAATAGCTCGCTAACCGGACTGTAGATTTCTCTTTATTTGCTAGTAATTGTCGATTTCTCATTCGCATCAAACATACTTTTGTGCTTATTGCATTTAAGCAAAATAAGTCTTCTATATTCGCATAATTTAAACTGCCAAGTTAGAAAACCAAGAATTATGGAACTTTTCGTAGGGTTACTGAATTTAATCAGGATTCAGTTTTGGTGATTATATAGAGAGAAACGCTGATCATACACGAAGAGATTGTAGCTGAGCTAATGGCAAACTGAATCAAAATGAATGGAAGAAAATGGTTAATCCTTTGAAGAACACTTCATGACCAGCATTACTCTGAATCCCCTTCCAGAAATACCGGACTAGCATAACCTAAGCAATTCCTCCACCTTACTGCTAAGACATTTTCAGTATATGCACGCACTTACCTTCTCATTTACCGACATCACTTCGACGGATATCAGTTTCTTACCTGACTACAACACCCGTGTGTTCACCATTTGGCAGAGACTTATTTTCAATTATGCTTGAAAATAACGCCGTTTACCAAACCCATTTTCTCGTTTTCATATTCAGTCTTCACAGACGTCATTCACAAAAGTATTGTTTCATATACAAAATATTTATGATCTTTGTTGCTGTTTGTACCTCCCTACTTGATTTACCTTTTTTTATTAGTTGGAGAATGTTTCAATAATTACAGATTTCTCTCTTTCAGACTTTCGTACTATTACGTTAACCAGAAAGACTAGCAGTGTGATATAAAGTCAGTTCTTCCCTCATCTAGTTTTTACAAATAAGTATACCACCAACATAAAATTACATTGAATGTAAAATCTATTCGTTCTTTTATATATGTGGTTGCATAACATGGCGTATAGTGGACGCACTGGACAGACAAGCAATACCATTCGTGTTAATTTTAATGTCCTACATGAATGCACGCATTTTCGAAAGAAACTAGATAAACAAATTAAAAACGTATGATATATATAGAAGACTTGCTGCTTTAATAATAACTCTTGTGCTCTTTTATTCGTCACTCGTTCTAGTATAAATGAAAATCGCTGCGAACAAGAAAAGAAATAAGGTTTGGCATATTACTGGTAGAATTGTTGGTAGGATATCATTAGTAGTTGGTAGAAAGAACAGAAAAATTTTTTAAATGGTCTCTTTAAAATTTGTAAAGCTAGCCGTGAAATGTTATAAACAACTGCAAGAAATATCCATAATGCCATATACAAATTTTATTTGAAATATCGTTTTTGTATGTTTCAAACACATTACAGTTGCAGTGTAGAAACAGCACATTGACAAGCTTCCACTGTTTTCTTATAAACATCAATTTTAAGTTCATTCAAAATAAATCGAATTTCCTGCCTATCATTAACTGGATTATTTAAGAAGATGCGGTTTCATTACAAGAGTACTCAAAACCGGTTTCTAGCTATGGCCAACAGCCGTAGTCAAACAAAAGCGATAAAATCACCATTTCCGCTATGATTTATGTACATACAGATGCGTCCACGTAAATGCGGCAAAGCGAATGAACCGTTCGGTAGATTCTGAAATTTCTTATTTCTGTTGATTTACAATCGTATTGTGGATCAACTGTGGCTGAAGTTATGTTTCACACTTCTTTACCTAAGGAGTACAGAATGTTTTTATATTCTTTGTTTTATGTCGCCCAAACTAACTGCAGTACTGTAATCAAGTACGATCTGTCAAAGCAGTTGTGGCACGAATAAATTAGCAATTTATTAAGTGTACCTACGCGTGGTTTCTTGATAACGTCTAGCAGTAGAGTGCTGTTATTGGAGTGATGTCAATTCTTAAAGCAAAAACGAATGTGTCAGATATTAAACACAATAAGACATCTGTTTGCAACTGTCACGTGGATAACCGGAAGATCTAAAATTCAACAGATGAAAAAAAAAATCTTCAGAATAATTTTCCTTCTTCCATATTTAAAATTTGACAACATTTTTTTTTTTTTTTTTCAATCACTAAAATATCATATAAAACAGATCGATATAATATGTCTGAAAATATATTATTTGTTACTGTTATGCACCTTGTTTTTTTCTTTTGAATAAGCATTACGAAAATGTATTTTGAGATTATGCTTACAGATAGATGTGTACTCAGTAATTCGTTTACCATATATATAGAGTCATATAATATATGTAGAAATAAGACATTGCAATTTAAGTTAACGTTCAATCTATCCTTTCCTGTTTTGATTCTTAGCATTAGGATAAAAGACAAGTGGTGATAAACAGTGTTTTAAGAATCTTGAGTGAAAAGAAGGTACAGTTCCTGAGTTAACTGGATTTGTAAACAGCTACTTTTATTTTGTGTATCTTTGATTAAGGGTGAGAAATTCAGGGTGATGTATAAATAGTAAGTTTAAGAAAAGAATATTGCTTCAACATAATACCATGCAAAGAAGTTTTGAACAAGCTAGAAGAAAGAACAACATGAAGAAAAATTAACCGACAGAGAACGAATACTGTGAAGTAAAGAAAAAAAAAACAGACAGGAATAGTCTACATGAAGTTTCAAGGTCATACGACATACGCAAAAGACCACTAAATTCCAGGACAGAATCAGACGGAGGATGCAGGGAGGAGTAGAAATTGATAACAAAGGGCTGCGTAAACTGAAGGAAAAATAGATTAAAGTACATAAATATAATGAGTATAAATTAACAAGAAATGAATCAATAGAGCTAGGAACGTAGTCACAAGAACCCTGAAACCCATACGACTGTCCTCAGATGTGACTGAGGAGTAGCACATCCAGGGTTTGAAGGCAAATTGCTAATACGGTAAACTGTAGGGTATGCATGTTTGTGTGGTTCGTGGTGGATGTTTTGTGGTCAGGTTATGGCAATAATTTAACGAGTGATTTATGAACCTTGAACCTTTTCTGAGGTCATGGATGAAATCATGATATCGACGCATTCTACCAACTTCTCTTGATAAAACAAGATAAATTTGTTATAGTGCGGTCTTGAATTCGTTTGCAAGTATCGTCGCTTAGAAAAACAGTGGGAAGGTTCCGCTTATGTACTGAAGAAGATGATATATACGCGAAGAAACTAGCGCAAAATCAATTGAACTTTCTTTCACCTGCAAATCTGACCCTTTTATATTTATATGTTTTTATAAACTGTACTTTATGGACTCAAATGATCACTAGTGCTGAAATCTACCTGTTTTGCAGTATGCCGGTCTCATTCGCGACATCCGTGGTGACATCGACCCTAGCGGACGTACCGATTTGCTCAAAATTCTGGATCGTGCTAAGGTATCCAGTTCTAAAATTTTCAAGGAATATTGTGATGTCTAAGCAGTCGCAAAGTTCTGATGTCTGGATGAAAATCAACTTTTGAATCTTAAATTGCAAGTGCGGTGATTATTTCGGGAATCACTATTCTTTTTCATGTACTTCATCCGCTAATGATTATACTGGTAGATGATGGTGTAAACAGCGTGAAGTAGACTGAAACTGAATGTTTATATGAGTATTTCATGTTTTTAGTACATCACGTCTCTTTAATTTGGATTTGTTTTGGTGATTTTTTTTCGGAATCAGAGCTTTTTTTTATTGTAGATCAGGAAGCAAATTGCATCACTTGATGAGAAAAGCAATTTTACTGCAAATGCAGTGCTTCAGATTGATTTTAGTTCAATAACGATCCGATCAATCCTTGATAATGTGAGTAATATTTAATAAGGCTGTAATAATAAATATAACACAATAAAAACTATGATATTGCCACTAATGGGTTAGCATTGAAATCCAACTTGAACTGCGATATTTCAGGAACTGCTGCTTTACGTACCTATTCACTTGATTGCATCTGTTGGCTTTGTTCGTGAAGCTCATGAATACATTCTTCCTGTAAAGATAGGGTACGGCAGTACTCGAAACTGTGACTTCTTTGACCTTGCTGTCGTATATTGTGAAACCGCTGTAATTTTTTTGATGATTGTTTATTTTTACAATTCATGAATTTTTTCGTGTATAAATTGCTTTTTTATCGAATTTGATAAAAGCATCAAATCACAAAAACCCCTTCCTAGTCATGAATATCTAGAACATATTTCTGAATATCTAAGAGAGAAATATAAAATGTACCATTTCATCTTAGATGTCATTTTCCATTGAACTTTATTGGTTTTGCAGTTTATTTCTTTTTTCTCTTTAAACTTCTTCGTAGTATTTTATTAATTACATTAACCAGATGCAGTTAACTTCCATTCAGGGTGTGGCAGAAGCAATTTGCAATATCCTGGGACAATTCTTTTCTCAAGTTTACAAAGAAGTTGCCAGTAATTTTGAAACGAATGCGTTAAAAAGTTCGGGAAGTTTTCTACATTTGATAAAATCTTTAGTTTGATAAAATCTTTAGCTGAAAAAAAATGAATGGTTGGAAAAAAATGAATAGTTGCTTCAATTATATAAGATTCATTTATTACTATGATGTGTATTCTGAGAAAAACAGGAAAAAAAATTTCAGGAACTCCAACTACCTCGTCAATTTCACCTTTTAATAATCATCGCCCTTTATTGTAAGTTCATTTTATCTGAAATATAACACTGCTTCGGTAATAGTTGTAGTAGAAATGTAAATTTTTATGCAACACATAGTCATTGCGAAGATAGGAATTTTTATAAAGTGCGGAATTAATGTAAATTATTTTTTCTTACCATCATAAATACTTACAGCTTAACGGAATCACATCAAGATCTGCGTATTAGCAGCAGTCATCCTCTTTGTTCAACAACTGCTTCACGTAGTGATTCCACAGAAGTTTGTATTGACGATATTATAGAAGATTATATGACTGTGGTAAGTTTGCAAGTATAAAACTGTCTCTTTACTGCCAACTAGCCACTGATATTCTATTGATATTACATCGCTGATGACATCTCGTGAATACTGATTCATAACTATTATTTCATTTATTTAGGAGAAAAATAGCTTGTCTCAACACAATGTGCGATTACCGAAGTTTCTAAGGTTGTCAAATATGATCAGATTAACTCGATTTACGAAATGTTCATTAAACGAAATCGTATTGCACAATATTTATTGAAAGAGTTGATGTTGTAGGCATTGTTATAGTTTTAGAATAAAGAGCACAGTCAGTTGATATCCAGTGAGCACGTACGGCTTTCGACTTAGAATTTTTCGTAAACGTAAGAACTGGATTATGTAATTGTAGATATTAGTTGGGCACCACTTTAGTTTTTCTGTAGGATTTATTTAATTATGGTATCGTTTTTTTTTTTTTTTTTTTTCTTTTAAGCTGACAAGGTCTCTAACAACCAAGGAGCTTTCGCAGTATGCAGCGTTGATTGTAAGATTTCGGAACGGTTCTATGCCGATTATAGAACTAGCACAGAAGTCAAGTGAGTTGTATGGACCAGAGAGATTACATTTACTAACAGGTATCTTGTATTATCTTTTATTGACAGTTCTTTGGTATTCTTCGTTAAGCTGCTAAAAAAGGTCACCATTAGAAAGTGGGCATTTAATGCATTTTTGGGGATTTTTTCTAGTAATGTATTTAGCGATTTAATGAAATAGCTTTTTTGGCAATCTTCTATTATCACTGAAATTGTTCAGTTATCTGCATGCTTTAGTGTACACATCTGTTATTGGCAGTGCAGTATGAGCTTCCGGGGACAGACGCGTAAATAAGTTATCCTTCAGATTATTGTTTTCAATATACTTCTGTTCAATGAGTTGGATTTTCACGTGTGAATTCACTATGCTGTTTTATAGGATGGATCTAGATTAACTAATTTACTGCTCATTCCTTGCTGATAAGTTTGATGGGGATCGAACTTATCAGTTCCAGTTACCATTTTCGATGTTGGTAACGTGTAGCATTCCTTTAATTTTAAACTGCTCGTTTTAATAGCTCTATCGACTTTTACTCGAAACATTTATTTTCAGTATTTGGCAGCTGAAGCAAAAGAGCAGTTTTGTATAAGTCTTGTTAGTTGTTGATCGTTTTTTTTTTTTTTTTTTTTTATAATTTTTTTCTACGTTATTGTGATAGCAGATGTGCTTTTTCTCCATTTGCATTTACAGTTTTAATGAGTGCTTTATTGAATATGCTCCATATTACTGATTTATTTGCTTTTTCTTTGACTTATTATGTATATTATTTGCCTGTTTTTACACCTCTTTTACATTTCCAATATGGTCATAGTTATCTGGTCAAAGTTTCCTGTTTTTCTTAGCTAAGTCATTTTAAGACAATAATAGAAAAAGAGAAGTCTGGAGATGGCTATATTGTACTGAAGAAAAACGATAGATTCATTAGAATAAGGTCAAATTTTTTAAAATTTAAAAGTTAGCAACAAAAAAAAAAGGTAGTAATAAAGTTATTTTGTATTGCATTAAAATGCGATGGAATGAAAGATTTGTACGAGTAATGACTTCTAGAAATTATCGGTTTTTGTTTTAAACATGGGAGTAATTGCTGTGAGCTACTATGACGTGCCGCGCTTTTTATGCTGTTACATCTTGCTTTTCATTCAGGTATATTAGAATCGAACGTTATTGTCTTAAAATCTGGTATATGTGATATCGGTAAGAAAAGAAGCACTGCATTTTCTGCTGAAAATCGTATATCATGAGAGAGTATTAAGTGCACCCTTTGAAGATTTCGAATTTCTATTTTCTCTATTTTATTTTTCAAGTTTTCATCTTGGCAAATAGATTAAATCTTTTATTTGTGCGTCCTTCCACGCTAAAATTAGTTTCAAAGCCTAATAATCTATTTATTGCGTTCATGCATAGTTTATAGTAGCTAATGAGTAAAAATGTTTTTTAGAAATATAATTTAATTCGTTATGCTCGTGGGTTTGGTTGTTCTTCAAACATATATTATAGGTATGAGATGCTTGCTGAGAAACAGGAGCAAAGATGAAATAAAATCTTTCGATGGTTTCATTGAGATGTTGCGATTGAGCGGTAGAGGCCTGAATTCAGAATAAAAGTAAAGGTTACTCATAGATTTTTCTAATACCCTTACCTAATTTTTAGTTTTCAATGTTTCAGTTAAAAGGAAGGAACAGAATCGCTAATTTTTCTCTATTTGGTTTAGGCATGCTTCTTTCGGAAATTTGCTTTCTATAAATACACGTACTTACTGCAATAAAAATTTTCACTTTTAAAAGTTCACTTTTTGTAAAATTTCCATAATTTCATTGTGATTAATTTTCAGGTTGTGCACACCGATTTTATTTTTTATCTGCAAATGCAAATATTTTAACAGTTACAATGTAATATGTCGAAAAAACTTTGATTTTCCTATGTTATATATTTGGAAGTAATAATTAAAAATTTGGACTGCTCAAGTTTTCTGGGACCAAGTTCTTGACACTTCTATTGATTGTGTGGGTATATTTATAGGCTTCAAGTATTTTAATGGTTTCATTTGAACTGGTCTGGTATTAGTTGTAGTTGTGATATTGGAGATACTTGTGATATAATGTGGTAACATTCTTAAGAAAATTTTGCTTTTATTGTTAAAATTTACCTTTTTTTGGAATTATGAAATAAAATTTTTTCCTACGTGTCATGTTTCTTTAATAACTGTTAGTTTTTGGTTGTATCGGTACATATTTTGCACTTCATGTTATATGTTGTGGATGCTCAAGTTTTTGTACTTGTTGAAATTTCAGGGTTGACTTCTGTTATTTTTTGGTTTACGGGTTTATGGCTTCTATTTATATGTTTCAGTGAGATAACGGTATAATTTACAATGACAAACTTTTCTACACTGATTATTTTTTTTTTTTTCGGAAACAAAGAATAAGAAACACGGTACGGTACGACAGCATTCTCTTGCTGCTGATCGTGAATTTCATAACGACTGATGGTCATTAGTAGATTAACGAACAGAAAAAAAAGTATATATCCCGAATAGGTAAATTACAATGTTTGGTTTACGTAAGTGACTCGTCCATCTTTTTATGGCTTTTATTACATACAAGAAAAGATAAGTTGTAATGTTATTCTTAAAATTTCGAAACAACATAGATAACATATGCGTAACGAAGGCTGAATTTTTCGCTAGAGTTGTTTGGGTTTGGTGACGTGCATACGTGGATGCTTTTTTTATTCAATGTATTCCAATTTGATTGCTGACTTTAAATCGTGCTGTAAATTGTGGGCTACTGCTACTGTATAGTGACTAAAACAGGTAACTCAGATCACTTCATTTTGGCTCAACCTTCATAAGCTATATGAGCGGCATATTTCTCGTTACCATCGCTGTCTTCAAATATAACACCCAATTTCCATAACGAAAGCTAAATATTTCCTGTTGTAATGGATGATCACTATTTCTGGAGTTAACAAAAACTGTAAAGCATAAGCTGCAGTATTTCAATAAACATTCGCTGGATTTGTTGCTAACTGTCACAATAAGCTCATTCATATAGTATAAAGTTTCAACCATTCTCTTCATCTGCACATCCTATACCAGTGCTTATTTTGAAGAACTTTAGTATTGCTCTAAAAGTTTTTGAAATTTGTGGCAGATTTGAAACATGGATTGACTTGTTCTGGTACCGTTTTTTTTTCGTTATGACTACTCATAAAATTGAGTATAATGGGGTACTGAGATGCAGAAGGGAGCAGTGCACCTCAAACCTGCACAGCTGCATTCTACTGCGAAGTTATACTTCGCACTGCTATTAATTTTTAAATCTTTCGAAAATTTTAATCATTTCATGTTCATAGCTGAACAGATGTGGGTCTCATTAGCAGTACAGAAAAATTGATTTTTCTGATATGAAGTACAGCACTTCATTAAGGAACAGATGAAATCGAGTTGTTGGCGCTCAGCCGAAGTGTGTCGCCGACTATAGCTTGATTTTCAGGAATCACTTCAGTCATCTAGTGATTATTAAGATCGGTGTTGTACATATGCAGCTGATTCCGGGGCTTTTACTATTAGATAGAATCCCATTAAGTAAATATTCGAGAAAATGTAGGATAAGAGTTACTTACTAGAATGGTCGAATGCCATCTGTGTGTGGTACCCATTATTTATGGTGTAATATAAACATTTCTGGCCTATCCTTCTTCTTGGTACTTTTGTTTCCAAATAAATTAACAGCAAAAGAAAAAGATTGAATTTTGAAAATAGTTCGTATGGAGTAAGATGATGCTACTAGGCATATGAAATGGTAGAAATGTAAAATCGAATTACAAAAAACATTTTTTTCAATTTTTCTTCCGGTCTTTGTGATTATGTTAATTAAGAAATTGTCCATGCTTATCTTCAGTTAAAGTGTAATTCATGATATTCGTATGTGTATTCTGAATTTTTAGATTTCCGCGCAGTTGTAGCCGTTTTTCTTGCAGATGAGTAATTCCGCGGCCACGAGGCCCACATCCGGTGGCACTGGGATACGAAGTTTTTTTTCGAAGTTGCGTAAGCCATCTGACTTGCAAATACCTCCAGCTCAGGTAAATACTGTTTTTTTTTTGGCGTTGTCTTGCTCCATTATTAAATATCCTTAGTAAATGGTCTACTTTATTTGACTAAATCATTGCTATTTCTATATATTTTATGTAAAATTTCCTATTGTTTATCTCAGAAAACTAACAAGACACGTAGTGACACACAACTGAGAGTGTAAGTATTATTGAGTCAGCCAACTTCTAACGTTTAAAGCTAGCACTATGTGGTTTTGGAATAGCTTAGACTTAGCCTTGCACGCAGAACGATTCGCTTATAGCACAGATTTTTTGGAAACTTAAATTACCATAGGATACAATTCTGTTGGAAAAAAATTTTTGCTTATACAGTACTGTTAATTTTTTCCTTTCTGTCCAGATATTTTGTTCTTTAAGATATGTAAATTAGTTGGAATTTTGCTTGAAGCAAATTTTTTAAAAAAATAAGAGTGAAATCAGTTATTGTTTTTACACTTTTGGTTGCTTCTCCCGCTAACCTTTCTCTTTATTAAATAAATGATTTAAAGAATACAATTCTTCACAATTGTTGCAAAATTTACATATTTTCTCCCGGTGAGCACATTCGAAGTGCAAAAATTTGGGGAACTCCTTCGTCTTATAGCTCTTCGATTTACCTTCCATTTGCATAAATGAAGCAAAACAAAAAGTTTTCTGTAGCTATAGAAGTCTCTTCCTTTGTTTGTTTTAGGTTTCTTTCTGAACTTGAAAGATTCTTACTGTTTGTTTCAACTGACAGCTTAAATTAGGGTGCTTGCATGTCATCTAAAACTCCATGAATCTTAATTGACAAACAATTTAGTGAACTGTCTCATACTTTATTTTGAAGTTTTTCTTCAAAAATTAAGTTTGGAACTACTGAGTTTTGGTTTCTTAGATAATTGGTTACATTTCCAGTTTGTGAATAGGCTATATGATGAGGAACATGTGGTATCAAAACCATGTTTGATTTATGCCATTAATTAAGCACTCGTTGGTTTCTTTCTTACGACTGAGCAAATGTCGTATATTCCTCTTTTATTGATGCGATAAACGTTTGTTGCTTTTTTGTCGAAATTTGTTGGATTCTTTTATATGAGGGGTTGTGCGACAAGCAGCTTTTTTCTTTAGCATAAATTATTAAATAGGTTGATAAAATCTATTCATATGCTTTTTGTGGTTTGAATGAACTGGCTTTGCATGGTTTTACATACATAATAGTCGAAAAGTCAGCAAAAAATTTTGTTTAATAGAAATTATTCCTCACTGTTTCTTATATTTTGGTTTAATTTTAATGTTGATTGATTTTATCTCCTCCAGTTCTGTTTTTCATTTGTTAAGTCGCTAATACTTTGTCACGAACTGCTTTATAATGTGACACCAACAGTTCTGATGTTTAATGGTTCGGTGATCTATATGGTGTGAAATTGAATCCGTTAGCAACTTTTCATCATTATCAGCAAGAGTTGATGCGTTCATTGAAATAAACTTATTGAATGTATACCTTACTAATTCGTTTTGTTTCAAATGTGTTTCAGTTGTGTGAAAAAATCTTTCATATCTTTTTCCAATACTTCACACACTAGTCTCCATTTCGGGCCACACGCACTGTTCAAAATAATATATCTCATTTTGATTACCAGATTTATTACACATTTATACAGCTGAGGAACTGCTAATTATACCTTTTTATGGTGCCTGGTTTCACTTTTTCTGTTATATTTTTCACCACTGAATCAGAATTGGAAGTTCCTTGTAAAATATTTCATAAGTTCATGTCGTCATATCGATTTTTCCTCAGTTTTTAGACCATTTTAAATTTTCTGATTGGTTTTATTGTCTTTCCTTGAGATTATTTGGTTATTAATAAATCTTTTCTTAGCTTTACTGTTATCTGAAGCCTGGAGGGATTTCTAGAATCGGCTAGGTTATGGCATCATCATTAAATTATTTGAATTTTTTTAAAATATTAGTTTACCTTCCTTCAAATGTGCTTCCTTTGTTGAACAAATATTTTCTTGAAAAAATTTTTTGCATGATAAAAAGTGCTTTGTGGGAGCGGTTGTGTTTTAAGGAAATCGTATTAGTTGGTCATCATAATTTTTTATTGTCATTTTGTCTTTGTTTGTCTAAACCCGTAATGAGTTCTGCCATATATCACCTATCACTCTTTGTAGTGGTCGATGTTATTCATATCTAGAATATTTAGGACGTATTTTATGTCCAGAATATAAAATATCCGGTAGAAGTCTTAGGCTGATGTAGACCACAGTTGTTTTTCCCAACTAAAAATATTTTTCGACATGTTCATGTTTCGAATTTTAATATTGCGAAGCACTAAATAAATGTTAATAATGCTTAATATATCAATCTTTTACAATTCATCGTAGTGGTTTAACTGACCTTTGATCTTATATCACTTCACATGCTATGAGCATCTATCATGTAATGTCTTTTGCAACCCATTATAGTAGCTACCCATCATAATGCCTAGACAACCCATTGTACTAGACAGTTTATCCTTTGT